TTGCAAGATGGGTCGACATTTACGAGGAAGGGGAAGACTGTAAAAGAGGTGCGTGCTAATTTTACGACGCTCTACTGTATAGGGTGCCTCACTATGTTCTTCTACTTAAAGTTCCGAGACCTTTTTTTTTTTTTTTTTTTTTTTTTTTGAGTACCCGATGCCAAAAGTACGGGATCAAGTGACAATGACAAAGGAATACCGTAAAATAGAATGGCACCTTAGCAGAGTTCAAAAGTTATGAGTTCGAGCCGGGTGGGGATTTTTTCTCGTACTCCAGAAAAGAGAGAAAAAAAAAAATATATATATATATATAGTGTAACAAAATGGGGATGTCACCACCCTAAAAACCGACGTGCACACATTTAAAGTACCGTGTAATTAAAAAAAAACTTTTTTTTTTTGTCTTTTTTGCCGCAAAAATAAATCATACATTGCCAAACGCCCAGTCTTCGCCCATATACGCGAAGTTTCGTAGTTTGCTGTGATCTGATTCAAACGTTACAAATAATTTTCGGAAATTTTAAGTGAAAAAAAAAAGAAATACAAATGGCGGCTGACGATGCCCACGGGCGCCCGGAGATGAAGGGCGTCGGCCACCGGGAGCGGGCACCATTGTTTCATTAAACATTTCTGAAATTCGCTTTTAACTTTGGAATCGGACAGCGGCAATCTCCGAAACTTCGGCATCTGGTCCGGACGGCTAGCACTACATTGGAGCGGAGAATGAGCGTTGTTTATTTATGTTTTTAAAAAAACCAAAAAACAATACTCCCCCCCCCCCCCCCCCCCCTACCCAGAAACTCTGTACGTAATAAGGCCTAACTCAATGCGTGAGAATGACGTTAATTTTGTTTTTTCCGTCAATTCATTATTCAGACAATCAAACTTTATTCGGACGAACGACTGCCATTTTTTTTTTTTTTAATTTTTTACCATTCTACGATACAAATGGTTTCGAACAGCGAAAGCGGGTTAATGTTGATACTGCTTTCTCGTACTTTTCTTTTTTTGTTTCTTAAGTTTTCCCGAGGTTGAATCTCGTAAAATTGCGTTCGGATGCAGCGTGCCTCGCGTTTGCTTCGTTAACGATCGCTTTATTCCGATGCTGAGCATTTGAGCGAACGGCGTAATTACGGTCTCTTTAGAAAGCAGGAAGGTAAAATAAAAAGAAAAATGCTCCGATCGCTCGATCGATCCGAGCGCATTGATTATGAATAATTTTCCGGGTACGCTTCCTTATACATATACAACACCCGGAACCACAGAGAACCTGAAGTTTACATCCCAGCATCGCAGTCACCGTTATGAATCGCACACGTTATAATTTTTTTAAATATATTTTTTTAAGAATTTGGGTTGTTTGATAACGTTTACGTTCTTTGTTGCAAATAAGAGGGCGGGGAAAATGCAACCTGGAGAATATTGGGGAGTGAAAAATGGCGGTGCAGGACTGTGGAGGAGCGCTCCTTTAGCTAATTGCTGGGAGATCAGAGGCTAAATGAGGCTAAGTTCAAGGGTTACTTTTCGTGTTTTTTTTTTTAGATTAAAGATTGCTAAACAAGGAGTTCGCATAAGATTATCTAAATACGTGGAATTTTTAGGTGTATCAGTTAGGCTAGTTATTAGTGTGAGCGCGATTTAACTGTGATTAGACTTAAATTTAAGAGCGGAAAAGTCTGCAAGACATTTTGTCTTTCTTTTTATTTGGGGGCGAGGGGGGGGGGGGGGGGGGAGTGGGGCAATAAAACATTCCTTATAAAAACAAAAATATTTAAATTGAGGTGCGCGCTGTAAGTCTGACGGAGAATGTTATTTTTTTTTTTTTTTTTTTCTGATGTAAAGAAAGTAAATATATCGCAAATTTCGTTCATAAGACCCCATGCATAAACTGCATGTCCTACATTGAAATAAAACGTACTGTACTTTCCCGAGGGTTCTAAATAATAATAATGAATTTTATATATTATTGCCCTCTATAATTATTTTTAGAGTACCACGGTTTCTACATTTGTTCGGCTGAAATCTCGGATATTAGAACAAGAAATATGGTGGACGACTGAAGACAACTACTCAAAAAGAGTGCGTGGTTGAGAATATTCATCCTCCGTATTTTTTTTTCGCTTATTTTTTAATTTATGTAACATGTTAGGAGGCACGGTTGTTTTACAACAATTTGTGCTCAGAAAAATCGAAGACTGCTCATTGATTGACTATACTGAACCTTTTGAAGTACTTAAAAGGGTATTGATTGCACCCTTCTATTATTTGCCTATTTCATGTACAAAAGTTTTCATATAAACAAATTGCTATGAACAACCATTACCCCCCCCCCCCCCCCCCGTGCCAAAAAAAATATTTATAAATAAAAAAAGCTGTTATTAAAAAATATTGTTTTTCATAGAGAAAGAGAAAAGAAGTATGAAATTTGGGTAATGTTGACGACATTTTTTTCCCCCTCTAGGAAGTTATTTTGGTTTAAGTAAACTTTCCATGCTCGTATCCGCCGTGTTTCTTTTTATGGCCGCGTTTATTTGGTTTGATCTGTTTATTACGTTTTGAGACGTGCAGCCACTTTCGTACAGTCGTAAAGGAGAGGCAAGGACCTCATGATTCATGGTGCGTTTTAAACAAGGAATATGTTTTATTAGCCAAATTCCACGAGAAAAATGTCGCGATGAACCATCATGTCAATTTGTCCCTCTAAATTTTGCGGTAAAGTGATGTCATGTGACGTCGATCTCCACGCTAATTTTAGCAGGGAAATGACATGGTCACGTGACTTGACCACGTCGTGTGACCTCGAGTCACGTGACGTCAATTTCTGCTAGGTTGTAGTTTTCGCCCTATACACATTCCGTAGTTCCCAGTTTTCGTCAGAACGATCAAGATCGTTTAAATTTTCTTTCCTCGCTGCCCTTCTCAAACAGAGAGCAAAAAGATCAAATCGAAATTGAAAAAGAAATTTCCGCGCCGACTCTGATAAAAGTCCGACGTCAAATTGCAAGCACCTGGGTTGGAATTTTAACCCTCTAACTGAGAATTCGTAGCTCCACACTTGCTCAGAACCACCTAGACGGCAACGAAAGCTTAAATGGCATCGGAAAAATGTTTTTCACACTAAAGCTTTCATTAAACGTACTACCTCTTTTTTTTTCCCCTTTTTCTTCGTCGCGCGCTCTAATTGCATTGTGTTCTCGGATGTCAGCCGTCGGATACCGCTTTAACCGTCCCGCTTTCATTTGAGACCCCTTTTTATTTTTGTTCTTTTCCCTGCTTCACTCAAATGTTGCATTAGGTGGCATCGTCAGAAACTACCTGCCCTTCTCCTTCAATCTTGATCGAGCTAGGAAGTATAACTACTAAAGGTTAGAGCACGTTATTGCCCAAATCGAACACGAGACATAAACAAATTGACCGCATTTTTGTGCTCGACCTGAACAAAGTCACTGCCGCGGTAAAAAAAGATCCTTTTCTTCAGGTTAGCATCAAGAAGGCTACTTCCCAGGTAACCTAAGATGTTAAACACACCTATTGCCCTTTTAGTTGGGGGGGGGGGGGGGGGGGGGGATTTTGAGCTGTCGTGTTTTACACTCGGCCTGCACGAGTTCCGTATCATTGGCGGCCTGGGACGGCCGAGGTGCTCGGTGCATTCCCTGGCGAAGCCAGCCAACCATGGTTCGCCTGCCATCCAAGCCTTCTTTCGGACATTTGAATTGTAGATCGTGAATAAAAATTCTAACTGCGACTAGTTCCACAAGCATGGCCAACCATGCAATGACTTCAGCGTCCCAACCGCCTTTGCTTCCGTCGTGCCGCCATCATTATTGCTGCGCAGTAAATGGGCAGGCGCGCTGGAACGCGAGGTATGAATTTCGCCCACGTCTCTTCGGAAGGTGACGACGAAAAAACGACGATACGTGACGAGATAGGCAAGCGGACGCAGTTTCCGGGCAAACAGCGCACGTGCAGGCGTCGCATTAACGATGCCGGGCCACGCCTCATAAAGGGTTGGCTGCAAATGCGTCTCCCTCAAAGCCTAATGGCTGGAGGCGGCATGCATCTTTGCTTTATGCGATCTTTCTAGAGACTCGTGAAGCTTGCTCATCTTATCGGTCAGCCTTTTAAAGGTTTGCGAGTCTATATCGTTTTGTGGGGAAGAAAGTAAACAATGGCAGTGAGTCTATAGTGAATGACGATGGGAAGGCCCTTGTTTTTTTACTTAAATTCCGATCTTTTATCTATCTATTTACAATGTACCTCCATCGCCTCATGGAGATTATTAGGGAGTCATTGGAGGTAATTTGACGAGCGGTAAGAAGAAACGTCTTTGTCATCAACGCGCACAATTCGTTCTGGAATGTTGTTTCACTCTCGGAATGCCTTAACAAAGAATGCATACTCAAAACAGTTTGTACTTGAACTGCGTATACGTAAACCTTTTCCGAATTATTGCACCGAGAAGAAATGTAAGATGGCTCGAAAGGAACTCTATACTTTTAGCGCAAAACATCTTCTGATGATGTTTCTTTTTACGTTCGCCTCTTTTTCTACATTGCAGGAATGTAGTTTATTGCTTTGATAAGTAGCTAAAACCCGAGTCCTTTAAAAAAAAAAAGCATTGGGTTATAAGTTACAACTCTTCCCCCCCCCCCCCCCCCCCCCCCCCCTCCTTGTCTGCTCGTTGTAAGAATATATTTATTACAGTGAATCTCAATTACATCTGTTTCCGCCCTTCAATTCTTTGTTTTTCACAACCGAGTGAATCTTAAGGCTCTTACCGCCGAATTCAGAAACCTCACTCAAACTACACTCAAACTGAAGGGCCCCTGCACTTCCTCAAGGAAGGCGCGAGGGCCGGCGCTGGCCAATCGCGAGGACGGATCCGCCGTCCTCGCGATTGGCGCTGTGGTGTAGTGCGAGTGAGGTTTCTAGAATTCGGCGGTTAATTTCGTTTCATTATGCGCCCTCTTAGATTCTTTTTCTCCCTCGAACTCTCGCAGAACCAGCTCCCGGGGGTCCGTGGTCCCCCCGTGTACCAGCCCCCGGCGAGCGTGTACGATGACGACCCGGGCATCATGTCCGAGGTGGAGACCTCTGCTACGGGCATCCGCAGGGCGTCCAAGGCCCGCTCTGGCCTGCCCGTGGTGCGCACGCCATCCAAGACGCAGGAAAGGCCGCTCGGTGAGGCAGCTCCTCGACGTGCCGTCCGGTACGGCGCGTCACTGACTGCGCAAGCACGCGTCATCGACGCTTTTCGAAGTTTCAATGTCAGACCACTTAAGTTGCTGCCCGTAATGAAGAAGTTTTGCAACAATAGTAGTTTTTTTTTTACAATAGTTTTATTTGAAAGAAAATGGTGATCGCTTGCTTACGCTAACAGTGTCCCGCTGTGCATAAACATAAATGGGAGATAGGGTTGGGGGGGGGGGGGGGTGCATGAAAAGCCACATTTTTCATCTAGTACTCAGGAAAAAAATAAATACTCATCGCATATCCAAGCCAATAGAGGTTGGTTGCAATGCATTCGGGCTTCGAGGTGTCGCATACACAAACATCTATGAGGCTAGAAACTGGGAGAAAGGAGCAGACAAGAGAGTGCGCGGGAGGCACCAGAGCGACGAGCTATGGCGGGAAAGATTAGTGGGTAAAGGCGAAGTTAACCTTTGTCCGTACTCACTCTTCGAACAGTTTCAGGCGCCGGAAGCCGGCGTCCGGCGTTCGCATTCGAACGCGTCCGAACGGTGAGTATACAGATGAAGGCAGCTTTACCTCTTCCCACTAATCATTCCCGTCAGAGCTCGGATCTCTGGCGTCCCCACGCGCGCTCTCTCGTCTCCTCCTCTCCCTCAGTTTCTACCCGTATAGTAATCGACGGCGTTACACGCAGGGCGTGGCGAAGCACCTCACTGGCTCCCTGCAGTCAATGGGGCTGCGCCATTAGTGAAGAAGAAAGCCAAAGAACGAATCACAAAGCGAGAATTGCGAGCGTAGGAAGTCACTGAAAGAATTGTGCTGTTTGTCCTTGTCCCTAAGTGTTTTTTATTCTTCCTTTGATTTTTGTTAGAAGTCACGCCTTGCGTTTCTTAGTCTGCCGGTGACCGATAGCTGGTCATAAACGTATTAGGCATGGTGGCACCGCAGCGCGTGGAGCGAATAGTCGCTCTGCAGGTGCCAGAAATATATATGATTGTTGGATTGGGCCACCGCGCCCTTTCCCGTTTCGGTATGCCAAGAATCAAAAAGGTGTCCTGTCATGTAATTATTACTTCATGGTGTATGTACGTTAAACGAAACCTAGGTTAGTGATCGTACTGTACTCACTAAGTAGGCGAATCCGTTGGTGTCTAAATATGTTCAACGTTCACTTCGATCTTTTTTTTTTTTTGCTCAGGTTTGGTGTGTATACCTGACAACGTTGCGGGCCTAAAAGACTTGACAGTGATGAGCCGGAATGGAAATTGATATCGGCACCAATACGGAAAGCAAGTCTTCTGCTTCTTGTGCAGGAGTTGCGTAGACGTCAGAACGACGTTGAGCTCTAATTGGCTGATTGAAAAAAACAAAAAAACTAGTGGGTACACCTTAAGGCATTTAGCATTGAGGTCTACTCACTATTGTTTTCAATCAGCCAATCATAGCTTGGTGTCGTTCTGACGTCACCGCCACTCCTGAGTAAGAAGCAGACGACTTTCTCTCCGCATAGCCACGGAGTGTCGGTGGCAAAAAAGAATGGCCGCCTTTTTGATCACTACGAAGGGTAGACCATTGGGGTGCCACACTGCTCGCACTTTTAAGTGGCTAAACCGCTCGAAGAGAGACAAATAATTGGTGTTCTCTGGACATCACGGGAAGGTATGAGCTTAGAATCTTTCTTTTTCTTTTTTTAATAACGAAATGTCCTGAAGGGCAGCCTTTATCCGGCGGCGAGCGCACTTCGTTCCTACTGCGGGTCTTCCTCACTTCACCCCTGTCTTCCTAGACATTTCTATAAATTTGTGTCGAGACGCCTGTGTACAGAAAACGTTGTTAATAATTAACACAACCGGTGTCTCTACAAGGTGAGTTTACCTTGGTTCTGTTTGTGAGCAGGTGTTTCAACAAAATGCGTTTGAGCGGTGCCGTTTCCAGAGTTCGTGCACCCTATGGCCTGACCTTTACTCGCTTTCCGAAGCGGCGAACAATCGCCTGCTGGGATGAAGAAATCGCACGCTGGGTTGTGAATTCATAAACATTGAAAAGGTCTATAGAACCTTTGAATAGTGTCAGGTTTTTCTTTTATAAGGCTTCTTTCGGTAAACAGGCCTCTTCAATCCCACGCGCAGTCACGCGGTTATAACAAGAGCCCATACAATTAAAAAAAAAAAAAAAGAAACAAGAGAAATTCACGTGCCTAGGTATTTAAAATCAGGGGAAAATGTGCAATCGGATGCAAAAGCCCATACAATTAAAAAAAAAGCAATCCACGTGCCTATTTACGATCAGGGGGAAACGTGGCATCGGATGTATATTTAAGAGCAAAAAACCTTTCATATAAATATTTTAAAAGTACAATTTATATCATTTAGACACCGCGTCTTGACAGACTTCTAAATGCTTATGTACTTTTGTGACGTAAACGGACACCTCGGCCACCATGTCTACCACCAATGGATTGAAGCGCTCTAGCATTCCTGCACTTGCTCGGACAAAAAAACTGTTAAGTTTTTTTACGAATACGACGCGGCTACGTGTTGCAGGTGCAGAGTATATTTCTTTCTGCTGAATGCCTGTTTGGCGCTAAAGAGATTATCCACAATAAAAACCAAAGAAGTGCAAGGTATATTGTTCAGGCGAATTCGGGCCCGCAAATAAAGGAATAGCGTGCAACATAGCGACGGACGTGATGTACAGACTGGCATTTCGACTGTATTATTTTGTAACCCCCGGTGGTAGAGCGCTTTCAGATTTTGACACTCTTGCACTTAGGCTTTCCGGAATGGAGGTGGTTACGATAAAATGCATTGTTCCCGGATGAGCAAAATCCGCTCGGGAGAAGAGCGAAGCCAGCGCGAGCCATTTCTAATCCTGTCAAAATGTTCCTATTTCCCTACAGATCCTCGTAGATTTTCATTATCTAGAGCGGACGCACTCCACTGTTAAATTAGGATTCCGCAAAGTTAGCGCCCTTCCTTTAAAAAAAAGTGTGAAGTGTTCTGAACAAATCGAACTGTCTTGTTACTTGCACGATGAAGGCTGCATCGTCGACCAGTTCATTGTTCATAGAATCGCTACGCAGCTGTCCATTACTTATACCCCTGTCAGAAGGGCATTTTAAAGTCCTTGAGAACAAGCTCCTTTAAAGAATTGGCGAACCGACGCCCTAGGGCACGTGCGCACTCAACAGCGCGAGCGGCATGGCCGATTTTATAAAGAAGCTTAGTGAAAAGGACCTTTAGAACGCCGTCTGACAGGGGTACTAGACGCTTAACGCTTGCTACAAAAACGAAGAAAGGGGGATAAAATAAATTATAATTGTGGAGAGTTTGAAAAACGAAAATTTTTCCTGGTCTCGTCCGGATGGCTTGATTGATGTCTTTATAAACAGGCTGAACAACGTAAAAACGAGTGAATAAGTCTTGATCTAGTTTTGCGGTTTAATCAATCATAGGGAGAGCGCAAATAGGTAACAGATGCCTTTTGATTTCAGCTCCCGTTAAGTGGAATCTGCTTGTTACACGAGTAGCTCTCATTCGTGATCGCAGTGAGGACTTCCTTGAACTTAACTTTTTCGTAACTTGGGCACAATTGGAAAATTTCGAAGGAATGTAACAAAGCACCCAGACTATCCACCGTTTCACTTAGTTTACGTTATCCGTTGAGTTTACTAAAGAAGTGGTTCAGAAGCAACTGCGTTCATTATTGGGCTCCCCGAATGATATAATTTCTCCAACGATAAACGGATAACTTGAACAATAATGCCGTCTCAAATTGCACGATGTATTACACCGCTCATTGATGTTCATCGAGCCTTCGTAACTATCCGGTAGTCATTCAGGAACAGCATCCACTTTGACGGCGCAACGCTCGTCCGTTCATTATCGCATCATTGCAGTTCTTGGCGGATGCCAGCAGCTGATGGTCGTAAACGAGGCTGGATTTAGGACGTCCCAAATCGTTAGCAGTAATTGTTGGCACGGCGGTGATGACGATCGCGCTCGCGAAGGGACATCAGGCGGGCCTGTGGCCGACTGTCTTCACCTATGCGCAAAATTGGCCACGAAAAAAAAAAAAAAATGTGGGCTGTTCATTTGAAAAAAGAAGATAGCTTAAACCATTCAAAATAGCAGAATTATAATGGTTCTACTCTCTCGCAAAGCAATTTGGAGAGCCAATGACTGCCATGAACTAAGGAACTTTGGTGAAATGACGAAGATAGAAATATGTTTAGACTTAAGAAAGCTGTCTGCGTTCATGGTTGCTTGGATGTTCTTGTCTGGCAACAGGCGCACTCAAGTCAGAGTATGTTTTAACAATGAACAAAGCCCTAGTAATGAATGTTCGTTTGTTTGGTCTAAGTTGCCGTTCCAAAGTTACAATCCCAATGTTCATGAGCGTAGTTTGGCTGTCTACCTTCTTCTGTAATGAAGAAAATTGAGACGAATGCACACCGAAGTTCCTTGATAAAATTTACGCTTGTCACGCGCTTGGTGCACCGGCGCATTTGACACTACTTGTGACACTGACAGAGACACATCGAGAGGACTTTAATAGGCACCACTTTCCGCGCTCATTTCTCACCGGCATGCTTGCACGCGTGAAGCCCAGTTGTAACCCTTAGAACAGTGAATGTGTGTGCGCGCGCGTGCGTGTGCCGTGTCTAACGCTCTCGTTCTCTTTCTCCCTTCCCCGGACCCTCCTGTCCCGTGTTCTTCCTTGTGGCACTCAGCGAGGATGACACTCGTGAAGCCCGGCGAACTTGGCAACTGGCAGGATGTCAAAGGCATGGAACTCACTAACGCCCTCGCATGTGCTCCCCACGCGCCACGCTTTTGAACGTTGGCTGCGCTTTTGCTCGTGTCTTCTCTGCACGAGTTCCACCGGGATGGCGCGAAGTGCGCATGCGCGCAACACCTCCTAGACGTTAAGGCTTTAGTGTTGAATTTTCTACGTCATTTACCGAAGGCCACCGCACCGCGGGTCAAAGATTGAGCACGAGTGCTACGTCCATGTTCGGCTGGGACTCGCGGCTTCACTGATTGGACACGAATTCCAGCAAAACGATGACGCAGCAGTTGTGTCTAATCAGTGATCCTGCTGGCCTCTGTTTGATGACGTAGAAATTCCAGCTCTGCAGCCTTGTTACCAGGTGTTGGTTCGCGACGAGCGCAAGCATGAATGCCAAGCTTGCCTGTGCATTTCTCGTGTAACATCGCCTGCACTTCGTATTAATTGTGACATTTGGAGATGGCCAAGCGTTGTTGAAATGTCGTTCAAACAGTTTTTGTTTTTATGTAAGCATTGGCTAGCGCGCACATTAGCTCGATGTGTATCTGACCAGTCTTAAGTCCGCACCAAGTGAGCACGCTGTCAACTAGGAGAAATCTTTTGTTCGTTTTAACATCTTCATTGTGGGGTGTAACCCGCAAATACTGTCATGGGTTTGTTATTAATACGTTTCTCATAATTTTGTCCTTTCAAGTTATATTTCTTATATTTACTACTCACCGAGAGTTGTTTAACTGCCAGAGGTTACATCTTAGGAAGCGTAATAGGGCTAAATATGGCACCATATTATATACGCTACCTGACTATGTAGATCTGGGGCTGTACCCATGGTAATATAAAATTTGAGTTAAGATTAGTTAGATACGTATGCAGTAGATAAACATTTACTTAACTTTGATACTTGTCGCACGACTAGTTTATATAATATTGGCTGAAGATAATATTTTAGCACTGTTAAAACGGAAACCAGTGTATTCAGGATGACTGTCACGGAACCTCAACTTTAAATGTGAATGTTATTCGAACATTTCATAAACCTATGTTGATACCCAAATTCCTATAACAATCCCACAAAAGTTTACGCAAACAAGTAATGCCAATCAAGCGAGTGATTTTTTTTCAGTTGACAAGCACGAAGAAGTACTTTTTGCACATAATGAAAACACATGCAAGTCGATCACGACAAATAGTGAATGGCACATCAAAACTGGCAGTGCACACGCACATATTTACTACAGAACACAATAATTCGGATTAGCTTGCAAATTGTTTGGGAGTACATGAATTTCCTAATGACCTGCCTTTTTGATTTAAATAGATGCTACAAAACGATATACATTGATGCTTTGCTTTGCGCACGTACTGATACGTTGACATCATCGCTTGTTTGGGTTCCTCTCTTCAAATAACCAACACGATGAAAAGCAAGATGATTGGACAATTTCACTTTACTGCTAAGATCAAAAATTGTAACACACACACATACCCAATCGCATCCTTCCACCACTTCGTCTATTTCGGCCATCCGTTCCTACACGGTCCGCAAACCTAGCTCGTAGGAGTACAATCTCAATGTTTGTTTTTAATACACAAAAGAAAGGAGATATTGAGAATTTTACGTGACGCAAACACCTGTGTTGAAAATCTGTGCAAGATAAACGCCAGGAGCAACTCACACGCTACACGTGCCTTTTCATTCGAACAAATTTACATGAAACAATAAAGTTGCCTTGGGGCTGCCTGAGTGGTAGAGCTCTTTCATTCCGTTGCATGCAGAATGGAAACTGCTCCAGAGATCCTCAGCAAGGCTTGCGATGTATGTGTAGGCCTTATATGCGATGATGTACAGGCGAATCGGCGGATGCGCGCCCTAACGCGCGATGTTTGTCCATCAGGCAATCAGTACAAGGAAGACTACACGCCCTCCATGTCGCCGTGCGGAGGCATCTACGCCAACAATGAACTGGCATCTCGAGCGGCCATGATCACCTCCCTAGGTAACCCTTGGGCCGCCCTCCGCTTCCTCTTCGCGGCGTTTTCCGACGAAGCCGCGGCCTCAAGAACTCTGCCCGGTGGAAGATAGCACGAATGATTGGGAATGAAGAACGCTCATTACGAAACCTGCAATTAGCTTGTTAGGCCTTGATAACCTACATGTAAACACGGTCAAGAGCGGGCTCCTCCTTTTAGTGTTACGCTAGATAAAAACGGCTTTGTGACGCGCGCGGGAAGCACGGGAAGACCCTGAAACCAAATACGACGGAACATATCTTGCCTTTGACATTCTTCCTCTCGTGAACTTTGGAATGTCTTTTTTTTTTCTACTCTATTCTTACATGGTCTCAATTAGTATGTAACTTGTGTCGCTGTGGCGTTGCATACACAAAGAAATCTGCTCGTCGGATTTTCCGCTGAACACACGGAGAGTCTTGCTGTAGTGAACCGAAGGAAATGAGCAAATGACGAGTCAGAAGTGTCCTTACCTAGAGAGTAATTTGCTTTCGAAAGCTGAGAAGGGCAATTGGATAAATGGTTCGTCAGATTTCGAGCTGTGTATCGGTCTCTGCAGTTCATACTCCCTGAAGCTGAATTCTCGAAAGCATTTGAATCTTAGGTACTTGATGCCGACAGCGCTCTGAAAAGTAAAAATATTACGTTATTACAATGTTACTGTATTATTACGTGCGAAGAAATATACATGACCTAAACTGTAAACTTTTTTTTTTTTTTTTTGTGAATGTATGCATACTTTTACCTAATATTTTCAAGGGACTTCATATGAAAACTATTCTATGGAGCGTCTGACAACCTTCTTTCATGTGACAAAAGAAGCATTAACCATAAATGCTAAATTAATAGCGTAAACAGTTAAACGTTTTAACGTTATATCACTTGTTTTTATGCTCCGAAGGATTTTAGACTGTTGAGTAAACTTTTTCTTGACTATGATCAGAACTCAAATGACATCTGATCGTGTTTCAGACGGCTGAGTGGTGAATTACTGTGGTATACTAAGGCGCCGTTGAGTTTTTGAAATAACTAAAAATACACTTTCCCGCAATTGTCTGGAGATAGTGCAGAATAGCTTTTTTCAACTATCTATATAAATAAATGAAATGAGCGTACAGTACAAATGGATTTAAACAACCTTGGTAAACTTGTAAAGTGCACTTCTGAATTTGTTTTAATGGCACTGGGGTAATTGCATCAGGTACACCATGATAATAGAAACGCATTGCTTTTATAATGTTAACATGTTAGGGTTCGTTGTTCATGTAGTAATCTTTATTAAACAAAGAAATTTGGTTCTTCAAATGTTAGTTTATGGTCGTATTCTGAAGAAACTAGTTTGTCCTACAGAAAAAAACCTTCGTCTGCGACATTTGTTTAATCTTTTTTAGTTGCAAATACATTTTTCAGTTGATAAAATTTAAATTTGACTTAACCTGACACAAAAATTACACATTAGTTCATCGTTTATTCACACGTGCCGAAAACATAGCTGACACGCTGCGCGGCACTGTCAACGTGGACACAGGATCAGAAGTTTTTTTTTTTTCTATTTTACTTGTGCAGGGTAGGGTTTCTTTGAACGCTTGACTGTGCAGCATAAATTGGTGCCTGCAACAAGCCCATCCGAACATACTGCCACTTTTTGTGGCAACCTTTCAGTTCTGAAAGAAAAAAACAAAAAACAAAAACGGCGATCGCTGGTTCGTGATAACTGTGTCGCCTTTTGTATATACCAAACGAAACGAAAAACTGAACGTGGCAAGTGCTGCCTCCCCTTTTCCCTCTGACAATGTGCCATTTAATATATTTTGATGTCTCAAACTTCCATCACATCTATGTTTTCTAGACGTCGAAATGGTCTTGGAAACAAGATTGTGCGTTCAATCTAGTTACAGCCTTAACATCATGTCAATTGCCCCCACCAGGCCCCTGCAGGAATTTCATAATAAAAAAAGGTCTTAGAATACTCAAATATCAAATTTTTGTGATGCTTCTGCTAACCGTTCGTCTCGAAATGTTTCCTAACCAAATGCGGCGAAACTTAGCCATTCCTAAACATTTCCTGTATTGTACGTTTGCTGGCGAGATACTTGTAGACTTTTTGCGGCTGTATTTATTCTCAGAAATATTACAACTTTACGAACTGTTGAAGTAACGTCCTAAGTGTACCTAGTATGCAGTGAAGCCTGCTGCGATCTGATATCTTTCCAGTTTTTAGTTCTTTTGACTTTTTTTTTGTACTGATCAATTATAAAAACTCGGGTTTGCCAACACGTTTCTGTAGTACAGATCTTTCTTTGCTGTCCACGCCGCTCTTGAAAAGTGTGACGAAGAAAGTCACTCGCGTTCAGTTTAGAAAGCAGCAACATCCGTTTGGCCTCACGCCTCCCTTGTGGTTGCGTTCGTGCCCAGGTCTGGTGTTCCTGCAGTACCGGAGCGAAACGAAACGGGCCCTGCTCCCGAACGAAATCACGTCGATCGACACGGTGAAGGCGCTCTTCGTGCGCTCCTTCCCCAAGCAGCTGACCATGGAGTATTTGGACTCGCCCCACATACGCATCTACATCCACGATGCCTCCAAGGACATGTTCTACGAACTGGAAGACCTCAGGTAGGGTAGCTGCGCGAGCACTGGTGAGGAACGGCCGTGCATTATATTCAAATAGAGATATAAGGACTCTCTTAGTTTGACTTGTTTTGAGTACCGAGATTGAGACGAAGAGTATCACTAAGGCCAGGAACTGCTTAGAGTTCTAAAGTTGTAATGTGACCACATGGGCGTGTGTGCCTCTCAAGAACATGAATTCGAGAACATTCTTTCTTTTTTAGCACGTTTTTGTTTCTAAATGGCGACAAAAAGTATCCCTAAGGTCAGGAACGGGCAGATGCCTAAAGTGTTAGTATGGCCACATAGAAAACCATGACACGCTCGTGGGGGTCATTCACAATATTATCGTTGAGGAGCGAGGTTAGACACATCTGATTCAACTTAAAAGTGAAAGCTGGTCCGAAAATGAGATGATTTCACAAAATATTTTAGCTATGTTGATTTCACAAAGGGAATGTTCCTAAAATGCCGGACTTACGAACAAAACAACTTTTGGGTTGTACTATTGCAAGCGTCACACAGTGAGTTTCATTGTTCTACTCTTACTATTTCTGCGTAAATGAAGAGATTTAAGTGCGCCCACAGCCATATGTCTTTAATGACTCTCTCCTTGGAAGAAATACTCGTCATTTGGGACTCTCAAAAAGCAACTAACACCGCGCCTTCTACTCAGAAAACTGAAGCGTCTAGTTGTATTTAGTAACAGAATAAAAACACACAATAAAAACCCAAAAGAAGATGACACATTAAAGTCTCATCTCCCTTCTTCTTCTTTTTATATTTTGTTCTTAACACCTTTGTGTAACGTCTTTATCCTCAACGCAGTCTGGTCAGCAAGAAGCATGACTGACTTTTTTTATCGGCATACTTCTGTGCCTCTTTTTGTTTTCAGGGACATCCGTGACCGCTCGGTCCTTCGCATATACGAGCAGGACATGAACGACGGCGCTGTGTACAGCACGTACGACCAAGACATGAGCTACTTCTCCGAACCAGAATTCGACTCGGAGTACCAGAACCAACACATACACAGGGCGAAGGTTGGTGCTTCAGTCAACATTATATGCTCATATGAACCTACTGCGCCTCGGAATTCGCTAGATTTCAATTTGCAAAGTGTACAAAAAGAACACTGGGTTAAAAAGGTTGGTAGAGATCGTCACAGCAGCACGAAGCCCAATGCCCCATTTGACTTGAAGTAGCGACTAGAACACGGTGAAGAATGCATGAATGTCAAGAATTTACGGTTAAAAAAAAATAATGTATATGTAAAATGACCTGGTATTTTTTTGTTTTAATGATTGTGCGATTAATCATTTGTGTCCCATGATTCTTTAAAAATAGCAAAAACGCTACAACGGCTTTTCGTGAATCATGTTTTAAGGTTTAGATTTTTTTTTTGTTAGTGATGTGGCTAGTATTGATTAAACTTTTACACATTAATGGGCCAAGCTGTTTTTTTTTGTGTGTGTGCATTTCTATTTTCTTTACAGCTGTTTACTACTGAAAACTGGGAAAGGGGGGGGGGGGGGGTAGAGTCCTAAATCAGGCAGCGATGCCTTTTGTTACTACCTGTCTACGGTGAGAAAGCAAATAAACTTCAAACTTCAATAACGACTCTAATACGAGTGTAAGATACAAAAACCTCTCTCGCAAAATTTACCAATTTAAACAATATTGAATTCTCCCTCATCTCGAGTGAATCGTGTTCTTCAAGGACTGGCAACGTTTGCTCTACATTGCGCAATAATTCCGACACACAATCTCTTGTTTTCACCGTAACAGCATTGTTACATCTTTGCAGGCATCGAAGACCCCGCAGGGTTCCAGCTACTACGGCGTGCCGGCGTACGCGGCACGGACTCAGACGCTGCCTCATGGAGCCACCATGCGTCCCTTCTCTCCGGCACCTCCCGAGCGGCCGAAGCCCCCGAGCGCGGGTCCTGGCGTCGGTGAGTGATCCCGGAGTCACTCCGTACTCCGAGGTATACGTCTTATTCGCGAGTTTTCGTAGGTCATTTCCACCGTCCCGCAATGCTCTCCGGGGCCCCCTACAAGATCAGTATTTCTGCCGACAAAGCTAGCGACGCGTGCGCAGTAGCGACATCTTCGTTGGGAACAACGTAGCGGAGAGGGAGGAGCGATCGACATGAACTTTCGGCTAGGGATCTTTAGTAGGTCGTTCCGATACCTCCCATAATAGAGAGTTTTAGGGAACCGTTTTTGCACATCCGATACGGTACAAAGGGCCCTCTGGTACGAACTGCGTGTATGCGAGTCTTGTGCGGTAGCGCATGCGCAGTACGTAAAGGAGGGCTTATCGTATCGTATCGTATCGTATGTGCAGAAACGGTTCCCTAAAACTCTCTAATGATACCCGATAACGATACGTGCACGCACAAAGAAATTGGCGGCGGCGAGCGGAGCGTGAAGTCACGTGGCACGCATGGTGCTTTGGATTGGTTCAGACGTCAAGCAGCGTCCGTTGCGGTGCATCGTAAGGTGAAGTAGAGTATACAGTATGAAATTCTGGACAACACTCAGAAACTGGGATAAAACAAGAACGTCCGGAGGGTAGAGGTGACTATACTGATGATTGGGCTAGCTGGTGCCCCAGTGTCTGTCTTTTACGCTGTTTGCTTTAACCAACATAGGTTACGAGGTCTTCACCTTGTGTTTTCGTTCTTTTGTGCGTGCATTATCTTCAATTGTCTTAGAGTCAGTTTCATGTTTACCAACGTATGGCGCCATTGCAGGTTACTCGCAGACTTTGCCTCGAGGGATGACGTACGCGTCGGTGGCACTGAGCCCAGAGAAGAGACAGCCAGGGCTGCTGGTTCCAGCTGGTCAGTACATGGCAATTATATTCCACAATGTATTACTGATGCCGGCTACTTTGGTCGATGGTGGGCGGATATATGTCGAAACACAAAATCGGCGGTCGCCAGTCCAGAAGGAAAAGCGGAGGGGGAGGGGGGGGGGGGGGGGGGATTAGTTCGGAGAAGCAACGAGAACCCGTAGTAACATGGGCTGGATACTTTCCCTTGAGGCAGAACATTTATCGAAAATGACGTCTACGAAGAACCAAATTGAAACAAAATAAGAACTCAACGTTACGTACCCTCGAGTTTTGATTTTGTTTCATTTTTCTGGTCATAAGAATGCTAACTCAGAACGTATGTAGTCGCCTAAAATAAGGGTTAAAAAAGAATTAGTTGGGGTTCTTTTGTGAAACGTATTGTAATTTCAAGTGAACCAATGCTGTATACAGACTGCAACACTGTACGGATGATGACACTCTTGATTCGCATTTGGTGCCTCTCAAACGTCGCAATGACTAAGCCAGAGGACAATATTTGGTCCCCACCTATATAATTTGCGTATATGTGGATGCAAAATTCCACTTGAAGGGTACAGCTTTATCTGTCGAAGTTGAGGCCGGCCTCAAACAGAAATCGCCGGTTCCTTCAATACCGCTGACCTTCTGAAGAGTCTATAAGGCCTGACCGACCTGGGGATGTCCAGGTGGCGTCCCAATCGTTCCCCCGTCGAAACCAGCTCGATTCTACCAGCAGCCCGTGAGCGCCCTGTCGCCGCTCACTTCCCCAAGATGTCCCCTGCCGAGGCCCCCGTCAGGTGCGTCATCCTTGACCGCTGGGCACGTTAGCTTGGCAACTTGACCGCCTAACCACTTTGCAGCTGGGGGCTTGACCACTTAACCACTTGCTTGCTGATATACATTATTAACGCGAGAGCATTAAGGAGCTCGGGTCGCAAAAAAGCCGGCGTATGTGGCGTGGCGAGAAAATTCTGGTTGGTCGATAGGGTCATGACATCGCAGCCACATGACCTCGCGCGAGAATCTCAATCCACCCACAACGCTCACGTGAAACGTTACGTCACGCGTGTAATGAAAGCGATCAAAAACATGACATGTATTGTGAATTAAAGTTCGCCGCATGTCTCAAAAGATTTCACTTTATAAAGTAATTCGTTTGCCTAAAAGAAAAAAAAAGAAAAAATTTAGGCGGGATTTGAATCTACAACTTTTCGGTCGCGAGTCAGACACGCTATGGCCACACAAGGCACGCTTGCACGGCGAATGAGAAAGCGATACGAACGCGGCCGGATAACGCTATCGCGTTCCACTTTTAAAGGCGAAGCTTAAGCGACCTCCAAGTTTTGCTATGGTGATTGAGAAATGCACATAGCAGATTGCCGATTAGCCGCGTCAAAGATTAAATTTTTCCAGCTGGAACACACCACATTCTGGAAGATTAATTTCTTTCAAGTGTGTTAGTACAGCCTGGCCTTCATGAACTTTCACCCCGATACGAGCCCTTGAGGATAATAGCAGCAATTTAGACCATCAAGCAAAAGTAGCTAAGCAAGAAGGGTGGGCAATACCCCAGTATTTTGGAAGCACGAACAGTAAGCACAAAACAGTTTCACATTTTGGAATAGATGTCGCAGCCTTGAAATCCTTGAGAACAATTTACTACCATTTATTTTGTCATAAGGCTGGAAGTAAAATACTTGCGAAAAATCAACCGAAAATCGCACGTTATGTGGAACATACAAAAATTGTTTCATGCTATCTTCAAAAGAACCCAGTGTATTTATTGCACGTAAATAGAAAATGCAGTTTAATGAACAGCATATTTCAGGTTTCTTCGCAAACAATACCAACCCATTCGTCAAAAACAAAATGTGAAACAATTTTTTTATATGTTTTAAACTTCGTGCCATTTCCGCATGGTTTTACGCACATCCGTACCCGCCTTGAGTGTCACCACTCTTACAGGGGCGCTGACGGGGCCTGTGAAATTATGAAATGAGTAAATAAATATTCGTCTCTAAACAGCTCAAATTTGCGTTTTGCACACTACAACTACCGTCCGCAATCTCAAACTTTGTGTAGGATGTATTCACGGAACGCCATATTATTGGTCGTTGTTCACAGCTCGTGCTCAGAGCTTGTGCCCATTTATCGTCTGTCAACAGTGACGATCCTGATTGGGTGGAATGCACGTTAAATGCGCATAGACGCGCATTCACTCTCCCAATCAAGATATTTGTTCTTGTCAGACGAGAAATGGGAGCATGGTTCCTAGGCTTGCGCTACGAACCGCGATTAAGAATGTGGCGCCCCCTGAATGCTCTCAATTGGTTTGAAGGCGAATAACAGCCATTCAACAGCTCGTCGCAGGGCTGCCAGTGCTGAATGCATGGCCGTTGTGCACCAAAAAACCGAGGGAGAGAAGGAGACGAGAGCGCGCGGGGACGTCAGAACGCCGAGCTCTGGTTGGAGGGATTAGTGGGTAGACCGAAAGCTAGCAGTATTAAGGCTCTGTTATACTCCGACGTAACGCGTGCGCGCGTGCGAGCGCGTCACAGCGACGTCACGTCGGCCAAAACCCGACGCTCTATACTCCGGCGTCGTGGCGTAACCGACGCGACCGGCGGCGTTCGACGCAGCCTGACTGCCTCGACGCCAAAATGGAGCATGCCGTATTCCGCGCCGGCCGCGCCAGCGACGCCGGACCAGGATGCATCACGCGCTGGCTCCCGGCAGCCCTCGCGCGGGAAGCGCGGCGAATACGAGCAATAGCAGACGACAGGAGCACCACTCCGTGTGGCGTCATGTTTGAAGAATCGGACTCTGTCGTCGAGAAGCTCATCGAGGGAATTCGTCCTCACCCGTGTCTACGACACGAGGAAGCTTGAGTACCGTAGACCGTGCGCTTGTCAAAGATCTACCGTATGTACATTGGCCGATACGCTTGCGGCGCAGGTGGTGCACCAACACTGCAAGCGCGAGTTTTCGTCGTGCAAGGTACGTCCACGCCATCGATCGAACTTGGCGCTCACGAAGCGCGAGAATTTTCGTCTGCTATTCGAAACGAAAAGGAACCGGAAGTGGCACACTCTCGCAGGAAACGTGCCATCGTAGTCAGATCCTGCGCATGCGCCCCGCCGGCGGCCCACCGACGCACAGCCGCGGGGGTCGCCAGGATCGCCGGAGTATAAAGAGGGCGAATTTTTGACGCGCGCGGCGTGACTGACGTGACGTAGCCGACTTCGGCCAGCGTTCGGCTGCGCGCGCGTTACGTCGGAGTATAACAGAGCCTTTAGTCTCTACTCACTAGGCTCGCTCGATTTACCTGCACCTCCTGTACCGGTGCAGCAAAGTTTAAGGCGATGTACTTCCGATCGTATCTCAATACACGGAAACACAGACCCTGTGTTTCCTTAAGCTATCAGCCACTGTAGCTCGTTGCCCTGATTCTTTGCAGCGCCGCCCCCGCGGTCGATGTCCCCCGAGCGGGGGCCGGAGGGGGGCATGTACTCGTCCGGACTGCCCTTCACTTCGCCGACGGGGCCTCAGATGGCCATGCCCCGGCGCTACGAGCTGGGCTTCCAGGAGTCTCCGGAGCGGAAACCCGGAGACCTGTCCAACTTCCTGTCGTCGCCCGAGCGACGGATGGACCATCAGAGGTCCCTGCCGGCCACCTTCAACTCGGCCTACGAGGAACCTTTCTACGGAGACCAGGACCAGCTGGGCTCGCGCTCCGGTAGCGCGACGCCCATCATCGACGAAGAAGCGAGGTGAGCGTTTGGGTTGCCATCTTTCTAGGGCTTACCACCCAAGGGCGACAAAATGCTAAGTAACTATAGCCGCGGGCTTGTGCGCGGTGTCTGATATTCCGAAGGAGAGAGCGACCGCGCATGCCTCTAAACGCGCTGCAAAGCCCAGTAGATAAAGACAGCAGCTTAAAGGAGCCGATTATACGAATGGTCTATCTCTACACACCAATTCGGCTTTCTGACGTTACACGACTGCGTTGGCGCTGCTGTCGGAACTGCACGTGTGTAGGGGCTTTATCTGTCTGTAATCTGCTCTCTGCTCACACGCAGCGCCCACACCTCGTGTGGGCCAACGCGTGCTTGTTTGTAAACAGTAAGTCAGTGTACAGACCGTTCAAAGAATGCGAAGCGCAAGTTCGGCTGCTTCTTTTGCAGGGGTTCTGGTGACGTCAGAACGCCGAGCTCTAAATGACTCTGATAGAAGAATAGTGGGTAGACCTCAAGGCAGCTTGGAAAGAGGCCCACTATCTTCAGTCAGAGTCAAACCAGAGCTCGGCAATGTGACGCAACCACAACCCCCGCAAAAGAAACAGACGAACTTGCTCTCCGCATAGCCTTGTGTGCGTTGCCATTTTGTTTTATTCACTGTCTTTTTAAACATGTTCTGAGCATACTCAGTCGCTCTCTTTGGAGGAACGCCGCGCTTGCGTTGACTGTCTTGCGACTCGGTAGTTTTCGCCTTACCGACAAGCGCTGCGAAGGTGTGTAGCCACTGACAACTTAAAGAACGCAGGGCATGGTCTATGACGTTCACGATTCCTGCGTCATGATTGGTTCTCCTGGTTTCTTATTGGCTAATGCCGCAATGTCACTTGCTGCGGAGGGATAGAAGATGTTTGGAACTGGGCCACGTGTTTAGCGTTCCCTGAGCAGTCAGTGACTAAATGCGCCTTGTCGACGCTTACCACCCAGACGACAAAACGCTAAGTCACTGGGGCTGTGGACGTGCGCGCGGCGTCCAATATGTCATGGAAGACGGCTACTGCTCATGCGCATAGCCCAGTACAAAGATGGCACCACGCGGGAGGTTGTTTTTGGAGTGGAAAAAGTATCGATATTGGGGCTATCATTGGTCGTTTAAGGCTGAGAAGAACAAAGGGTAGAGTTATTCGAGTCACCCAGAATTAGAGTTGTAATAACGAATGCTTTTAGGACCTAATTGCAATAAAACCACAGCAGTGTTTTTTTTTTTTTTTTTTTTTTTTTTTTTTTAATTTTAGCCAGAGATTGCACACCTCCAAGCCACACGGCGTTCGCTTCAGACTTCCGCTGAAATGGTTGAAGCACGCTACAAGTACTGAAATAGACATCGCACATGAACCCTAATCCAGAACACTCAGCGACATTGCTGAGTGTCGTGAACTACATCACGGTCACACGAATGGCCACACAGTGCGCTTTTTCGCGCATCGTATTTATTGTCCATAAATACGCTGCGTTGCTGACAGTGCGCTGCGCGTGAGCAACACCGCTTAATGTACAAATATACTCTCTTTACTGCGCTAAAAAGGTTTGTTTGGGGTAGTTGAACAGCGCTGTGGTACTGTATCGTCTTGTACCACATCAGTGTCTCGTTTGCGCTGTTTTACCCCGAAATCTTTACTGCGACTAAATGTCGGCATTTTGCCTCCTACTGCGTTTTCATTTTTTCGGAAGTTTATTTTTTTACTTTGATATTTTAGAACTCAAATGGAGCTAAATCTATCGGGGTTAATGTTAATTGGACGGCTGCGCAGGATGCGAGTAGAGTACATGGAGCGCCAGCTTGCAAGTCTGACCGGGCTCGTGCACAAGGCCCTGGCTGCAGGAACGTCTCCGAGACAACCGAGCCACCTCATTCCGACGCGAGACACCGACGGACCCCCGGAGAAGGACAGATCGGGTGAGCGCTCGTCTCTTTTTGGAACTAAAATGAACTTTTGGGCTGGTTGAGGTTGAACATCATGAATACTGAAGCGCTAAGGACGAGACACAAGAACAAGCAGAACGCGGGACAAGCGATTGTTCTGTGTCCATCTCGTTCTTGTGTCTCGTTCTTTGCGCTTCAGTATTTATTATATCTTTGGAACGTACATGAGAAACCTGCCCCGCCATTATACACTGTAAAAAAAATCTTTGAGTTCACCTTTCTGTAGAACGCGCAGACAACCAATGACGTCGAGCAATAGAAGGGCCCCTGGGGATGACGAAGCTGATAATATGACTACGCAAGGACAACAAACACCAAGTTTCGTTCGCCCATACTGCCCGCGCACATCGACGTTTCAAGATCTAATCTTATTCTGACATTCGCCATTCGCTGGGAGCATTCTATTTTTCGCCGTGATTTACCGTCTTCGTGTTCTGCAGAAAAGTCAACTCACAGATGCTTTTTTTAAGAGTGTATTATAAACCCGAGCGAATACTGGATGAATATAAAATATATGATATAGTATATAAATAACCCGTTGTATACAATGACATACTCGCTTTTCCGTAAATATACCAGTAAGAAGTCTTCCAAACATCTTCCCAATCGTCTTGTGTAGCTCGTGCTTGACTGCTGATAAACCTCAGTTTAACATCTTTTTTTTTTTTAACTTTGATTTTTTTTTTGTTTAGTTACGTTTAAACGTATTTAAGCTTTCGACAGATTGAAATATTAGTATCTTGGAGATGTATTATGATATTTCTTTGTATATTGATAAATGTTCAGTTCTTCGAAAGCAATACTACTTATGTTTTTTCCCCAGAAACTGAACACCTATAACGCGATAAAACAATACGGTGCCACTCAAGATGCAATCATATAAAATTCCACCACGTTTATATTTGAACGCACCAACGAGTCCAATTGCAATAAAGTTTTTTTCAACCAGTGTTAAGTATTACCCTGGAGAACAATGGTGTGGTCAACGATTTCCCACTCCAAGAAAAGATTTAAAGCTGTTGACATTACTCATTTATATCACCTGTTTGACAAGACTAAAAACAATTTGCGATGTTGCCTTGACATATTCTTAGATCGCCATATTATTAGATGCATCAAACATAACGAGATGCATTCTAATCAAACGGAAATTTAAATCAATAATTCATAGCAAAACACGCAGATCGTACAGCGATGTATTTAACACGCCACCGTTTATATTATTGATAATCGCCAGCAGTCTCTACGGTGTAATTATCACGCCGTAAAACAGAGCAAAAAAATTATCCTCAGAGTTTTGTTTATGAAGCTTACACACTGGCTGAGGCAGTCAGATTCGGCGAGCCCTTTCCCTTTTCGGTGATGGAAGATAGGACCGAAGCCTGACATAGGAAGGGTTAGACTTGGGATTATATTTTGTTTTCCACGTACGACTGCAATCACACTCAGTCGGAGTGCGCGACCGTACGTTGATCTCTCTGCGGGGCGCTGGGCTGACAGCTGGTCACGTGCATGTGTGTGACGGGAGTGGGGTAGTCTCTGAGCTCGTGTATCTCAATTAATAATATGGGAAACAGACAGTCCTGTTTTGTATTGTGCGAGCGTGCATGCGTCCGTGTTCGTATGCGCAATCGTGTGAGCGCGTGCGTGCGTGTTTATGCGTCTGAAATTTTGCTTTCGGCCTTGACATTTTTGGGAAAACGAATTCTAACGTTTGCTTTTTTATTACATGACGTCTATATTTTGCTGAACTCGCGTGATTAGAATAAAGTATATATATATATATATATATTTATATATTCGATGTTTGTTTTTTAATGATCACCGGCTCTACCACAATACTCCTACTGAGCACGTGGACACTTTTGATTCGTCGTCACCAATAATTAGTTTCTCCGTGAGCAGCCAGACTCATCCCGCGATAAAATCACGCTCGAAACCCCGCTGCAATTACTTGTGGTTGCGATGTTACGTTAAGATGCATTAAACCGTCAAGCCACCCAGTATTGATGTTTTGTTTTCAACAATAAACGTTGAAAACATGTTTCAATGGAAATAAATATTGTTTCCGTTATTAATTATCAGTATTGAAAGGGTTAATTCTCCCATTAGTACGTTCTGTCACCCTATACGTTACTATAAATTTCGGGGAAAAAATACCGGATGCGACAAAACACTTACTGAAGTTTTAACGACAAAAACTAATTGGGGTGTGGGTATGTTTATGCAGCCTGAACTTAGTCTGCCTCAACGGGCGACTTGTCTCCCAGTTGTAGATGAGAGATTTAACCAGTGCAGTAACAACCGCTAGCCTGGGGTCTTTAACGTGCGCCACGCAGTAGTGATACACGACCGCACGCCGGTACGATGCTCATCCAGATCGAAACGGGCAGGGGTGGGGATCGAACCCAGGATCCCTGGGTTCTGCAGCGCGAGCTTTCGCTCCACGTGCTCCGAGCTGCTGTGCACTAGACCACTCGGCTACCGATCCCCCCTAAGCACCGCGAAAATTCCGAGTGATTGTGTACATTGGTATTTAAAAAGGGAAAGGGAAAACCGACTGCACGAATTAAGTCTCGAAATTCGGTTTACGAGGACTCATTCTATGGCCTTGTTGCCGGTACCGGGTACAGCCCTGCGACATAAAATGTTTTTTTTTTTTTTTTTTTTTTTTTTGCATTTACGTTTTTTTTGCTCTGAAGAGCCGCGGCATGCTGTTTGCTTTGGTTCCCTGACGTCGCGGACATGGTACGACGTACCTCACCAGAGGAGTACACACCATCGGTGTAGTCCCTGTCCTCCCAGGTGAAGAAACCCAGCAGCCCTGAATAGCACGGCATTATGGTGAATATTAACCCACAAAGCTGTTTTTCACAAAGATTTGGAACTAACGTATCAAGAGGCTCTGGTCTAGTGGGAACTTCCTCATAAAAATCTAGAATTGGCGTTTTTGCTCTATTTACAAACACTTTTTTTGGTATGTTTTATTATTCTCCTTTAAAATATTTTTGAAGGAGAAGGAACCGGAACTATCAACTTTATTACTCTCACATTCTTGTTGATTGATTACATAAATTAATTTGAAAAAGTCGCCAGAAAGAATGAAGTCATTATATATCTGTTTTAAGTAATAAGGAACTATCGTTCACCTATTCCAAAGGGAAATATCGTTAGTTTCTTTAGAAGCACTGACGAAACATAGCACTTTAACGGCAGCTGATATCATTACGGAAAAGGGATGATAGATAATTGTATAAAAAGTATTTCCTCGTTCGCATGATTTATTTGTACATCCTCTATCTTTAACACTGCCTGGTTTACATTTTGCCTCTTGCTTGTAATATGAAGAAATTCGTTATTCAAAGAGGATATGCGAAAACATGTCCATATTTCAAATGTGTAGCTATGCATCAGATTATGGAGGGAATATGTAAACTACATTTGACGAACAGCTATAATTTTCTAAATTAGTTTTCCGCAGATACGATGCAACTTTATCTGAATAGTTTTCATAAAAAATATATTTTCCTCAGTTCATGGGCGGAAGATATGATAGCATTACTGCCTGCACGTTCCCTGATACTAAAAGCTTATATTCGCTCTCTGAGAACTTTCACGCGTTCATGAGGTCCATACTTCAGGAGTAGATTCTTTTATAGAAAATCTTTTCAGTGAATTCCTTTCGCTGGCTAGCTTTCACATTGCGCGTTTATGTATTTATTCCGTGCAATGCTGAGAGTTGCCGCGCCTGTGTAGTCAATCTAAAAGATGCCATGTGAGGATCTGTTACCTTTTTCCAGATGAGGTTCGGCTGGCCGAACACGATGTGCAGAAACACCCCTTCAAAGGTACTTGGTGCCAGATGCCTATTTTGACCCCCTTTTTTGCCCTTTTTGGAGTCCTGTTTACCGCTTCCGGCCTCCCCATTTTGGATCCTTTTTTCTGCTTTTTGGCATTCCGCAAATTCCTCCTCAGCTGCATGAGATCGACGTCGTATGCTTCCCTCTTTGGCTAGCCACTCGTCCTTCTTGGCCCATTGTTTATGTATGTACATCCTGCGGAGCGTTGAAATTCGCTGCAAAATGAAGGAAAATGGTGTTCTGCACTCGCTAAAGCCAGGCGAATGCTCATGGCGCCTCTTCTGCCGCTGTCCTCTGAACACTGCATAGCAAAGCATGAATGAATGAGCCACTCGAGTGCATGAGTCGCTTCGAATGAATGTCGTTTATAGTTTATTTTGTTTAGAAATATGAAGAATGTGTCGAAACACCAGCCCGCTACAATGTTTTCTAAAATTAAACCGTCGTTTTTTTTTTTTTGTTTTTTTTTTGTTTTTTTTTTTTTGAAGACCAATTTTGTCTTATTTGAGGGGCGATTCCTAACGCTTCATGTTCATAACCTGTTGTATGTACATACCGGACCTACCCAGCGAACGTATTTTTATTTTTTAATTCATTTTATATTCGGCTGCTGATAAGTGACCTAATGTGTCCAGGTGTATTTTACCAGTGGAAACACTCATAAAATACAATTTGGACTCATAAAATGCAGCTTTACACTAATAAAAGTACTATTTAGCTGGATGTGCCAAAATGTATTTTTATGAGAATAAAAATCACATGTCGCCCTACATCTATAGAAGTAAAATATTGCGGATGCACACATCTGTCCGGCACCGAGCAAGATATTTGACGAAAGATGAGGCTACAAACTGGACGGTCGCATATAAGCATACCTCTCACAGGTTCAGTCTTCGTACGCCGAGGTTTCTGATAAGCATCTTACTTTTGTTGGCCATGCCTCTCGTTGACTGAACTGCGTCAATAGGTTTGTTGGCTTATATGGCTATCGCATATAGCAGTCCTGTGATTTGTTTCATTGCTAATAGTTTAATTAAATACTATTAAAAAACAATGTTCACTTCCCAGCATTGCGCTGCACACATACTAAAATTGCGAGCACACCCGATTACGCCATGAAGGATTTCCCTTTCAAACAATAAGGTGGTTCAGTTTTGGTTAACTGTGAAGGTTCCACGCCATGTAAATGGCAACCCTTCTCACACTTTTTATAGGCTAGTTTCGAAACAAACCGTTGTTCAGCGTACAATGTGTTTTTTTTTTAAACAATGCAAGCCAGTGAGATTTAATGTTGCCACGCTCTGCTTGGCAAGCAAAAAACATCTAGTAGACGCTTTGGTATCTCGGGCTTGGTACATCAATGTACAGACTACGATGAGCCAAATAAATACAGAAAGGCAGAGGAAGAGGCACCTTACAAAGACCTTGTTTGTATGTCTGGCACTCGTTCATTTTTGTGTTCGCTTACCGATATATTTTGTTTCGTTAGGATGTTTAACAATAACTATAGACTTTTTGGCGATGAATTCTGCTTAAAATGCCGACAAAGGCGGTAGCCGCCTGAGTGACCTAATATTGTAGAATATATACACTGCGAAAGAAGGCCGCTAAGAAGTAATGTGTATATTTTCGTGTGGATTTAAAAATTTAAGGAGGCTGGAACTAGTACTCAGATTTATTTGCTACACTTTCTATGCGGAGCGCAAGTTCGTCTGCTTCTTTTACAGGGGTTCTGTTGACGTCAGAACGCCGAGCTCTGATTGGTTCTAAATAAAGGATAGTGGGTAGACCTGAAGGCAGCTTGCTTTTAGGTCTACCCACTATCCTCTAATCAGAGCCAATCAGGGCTCTGTGTCTATCTGACGTCACTGCAACTCCTGTGCAAGAAGCAGACGACTTGCCCTCCGCATAGAACCGTTCAGAAAGAAAACACGTTCACAACATATGTCAAGGCCCTTAAATCCAGCAACTTGCTGCAAATTTCACTTTAGTTTTAAAACATACTTTGTGTAATGCCTAGATGTATATTTTGAACAAAGCATTGAATATTGCAAATGTTAAAGCCATCTGATTTCATTATACAGTAAGTATTGCAAATTTGAGAGTTGTTTTGATCTTATGAAATTTTGAGTTTTGCAAAAGTTCGTCATCTGATCTGGTGTGGCCGAAATGTGCTAAATGCTAAATGAATATTCTATCAAATTGCGATTACGATGTTTCTTTTCTTTGTGGGCGTAAACGAGCATGCAAGGAAGATATTTTGTAGTTTTATGAAGATTTATCAACACTGTCAACAAATTGCATAAACAAATATACCACCGAGAATTGTTTTTTATTTTTGTGGAAGATAATTGCAACATATTTTTGTCGGGCCATCAGAATAGATTGTAACGTCCCATTTAGTTTGCGGTGTGTACGCATTATCGTCATACTCAGTTCACGAGTTTCAAAAGAGACGTCACATTGAAAAGGTCCTCATTATGGTTTCACATAGTAACTTAAGGTTGAAAATAAGAATTCGCCAAGTTTGTTGCATTGCATGCTATGGTTTACCTTTATAATATTTACTTTTGTTTCATATTCTGCATGGCTTCCGTTCTTCCTACGAGCCCATAGCACGTAAAATAGCTTGATGTCGTTAATGTCATTTAGTGAAAGCACGTAGGCATCATCGTGCACCCATTTTTTGTTGTCGAATTTCATTCCAATGGCAGCAATCCTTTCCTGTGGCACTTTTCTTCAATGCCCATCTGTCAGGCTCCCTGTGGCGCTCTCGCTACACATGCTGCACATGCTTATCAGCTTGCTTTGCACCAGTTGCTTGCACAGTAACTTGAGGTCCTTACGGCCTAAAAGAAGGCAGCACTTCACTAAATATCATATTTTAAAAGCAGTGTTCAAAATTTCATTTGTTTTATTGTTCTTATGTGTAAGCGGAATGCATATGTCACAATTTAATCAAATTTTCCGTGGCTATTATTTTGAGAGCTTTATGAGGGTACACATACGGGACCACGGACGTTCATTTGCACGGCCACGCTGTTATTGTGCTGTTGAGCTTGTCCCACCTTGACGAAAAATAATGCAATCACTGAATTGAGTGGTGTATGTGTGTGTGTGTTTGCGTGTCTTCACAAACTACTGAAAAGTTTAGCTTACTATCGAGAGTTGCATGCAATGAATAAAAATACCTCTGTGCAATCTTTTAAGAAGACACTTAGGTGGTATGGCGTGAAATGAGTGGTGTTACCGAGGTCAACGTAATACGAGTCGCAAGTTGTCTCTTGCATTGGCAACAACTTTTGTCAGAACAGTCCTATTTTTTAATCACTTCTCGATCTCAGTAGTGCCGTTTGAGCTTCCAGCATTATCAAAGTAGCCATATATAATTACCTCTAACTTATGAGAAAACTGCAATGTCCGTGGCCCTCCATGTCTACCTTTCATTATATCCAAGGGCAGCCTCACCTCATGCCTGTGGACAAGGCGATTCGGAAAATTTAAGAAGTGGTCATTGAGAGTTGTATAACTCCTGTGAATCGTCGTTTTTCTATGAGTAGATTCCCCTGGTCAAGTTATGGCGTCGATTCGACTAGCATCGCCCGGTCAGCCGGCTGTTCCGAAGGGAGCACCTCTGCTTACGCGCGCCGTGTGCTCTCTTTCTAGAGGAGAAGTCAGTGTCGTTTTCTGAAGAGACTACGACTCTGGATTCCCACAAACGAAGGCAGCATTCCCCGCAACCTGCAGGTGAATCATTACCACAGTCATCTTTTTAAGTACTCACAACTATCCAAAATCAAATTGAAGATGAGTTAGACAAAATTTCATGGGCGTAAAGCTGTAATGCTTCGTTTTTCACGCTTTGTACGAGACAACTTCAAAGTGAAACATTACATCATCGATAGTGTCGCTTCGAACAAAAATATAGACGTATGAGCGCACGTAGATAAATTGTTTCCGGATTAGTACATTGAAAGGTTCACCATCGAATACATTGGTAATCGCAATACGTACGTATTTGTACAGTTTAAATTTTGTGCTCCGTAAATTGTAGCACCAGCTGCGCAAGAAAATACGCATCAAGAAGACATGACGACGTTCTATACACTACATATGAGTGTGACAGTTTGGTGTAGCCTATTGATTTGATCACTCCCGTACTTGCGGGTGGGATGCCATGCAACATGGACTCGACGGAAAGATTTATCTCAACTTAATTTAATTGTTTTACGAAAGACGATATTTGAGGTATTTAAAACATCCTGGTTCACTAAGAGACTCCTGTTACGGGAGCTCGAAGAGCTAACTGCTTGAGCTGCCAGTCTTAATAACTTCAATCACCTGCGGAAGACAGTCTCCCCCCGGCGTAGTACAGTGATGATGTCGATCAGGCCCTTTATCCCTTCCTGCCCGCCTACAACATCGTGAAAACACCAAACAGCACTGGGGAGGCTGGCGGGGGTCATCGCTGCTTGTTCATCTCAACGCTTCTGTAAAGAACCGCTAAAGGAAAAAAAAAAGGGAGGGGGGGCATGTATTGCCACTGTGGGTGGCAATACATGCCAAGCGAACACAACGTCGTTTTTTGTGTAGATGCAATTACTAAGCTGCTGTTGCAACTAATAATAATGTGCCAGTGTCAGAAGTTGGAACTTCTGTATTCTCTTAGCACTGCGGTAAGTGTCGCCAACGCGCTACAGAGCTCCGTTGCCATTTTGCAATTGTAACGAAATACTGATGTCGTTACTTGCCATGACTAACAGACGTTACTTTTACCGTTCTGTCATTACTTTTTGTTTCAATGTTAGTATATGACAGCTATGTTTATAATAAACTGCCTCTTTAAACTTCGCCAACAATACGATTGTGCAGGGTGACTATTTATTTATTTATTTGTTTATTTGTACTGTGCAGCACCAGAGCATTACAGCAGAGGAGTGGGTACAGATAATATTTATACGTTGGAAACTCGCACAAACAGCACAAGCCAGCAAACAAAAATATAAGCAAACAATTCAAAACAACACACATTAATAAAATTTCAAAATTTAAATAACACCAAAAATACAAACAAAGAAATTCACATTGTATTGATCCGCTTAATAAAAGATTGCCTGTCGGCAGGATGTGTAATGTATATCCCCGCACACGTGACGCTTCGCGAGCGCGATTCGGAGAACTGAACTTTGCCCATAGCACCTGCCTGGGAAGAAGTAACAGCTCTGAAGAGAACGATCGGACGCACGCCGTGTAACGGACGCAAATTATACCTCTCTATGTAATCAAAGTTAATCCGGTAAAATAAACGTTATTTTATTCCTTCTTAAACCAACGTCACATTTCCAATTAACGACACGTCAGCACCCGGCCACCGCTAACACACTTGCTTTTGTTCAAAGCGTGGGAACGTTAACGCTTCCAAACTTAGAGTTTATCCTCTTTGTTGTTTTACAGAACGAGAATGTATTTGTTTTGAAGAGAAGGATGTGACCAGATAGAGTAGCTAGGGACGCTGAATCAAAATCCTTCAAGCGGCGGCAGACTGCTGCCTTCTGAACGGATGTCTCTTTCCAGCGAGACGGCTGCTCAGGGTATACGGCGAGGACAAGGACGCTTAGGGGTTCCGCGCAGCGATAATCTCGCGCCTTTTGGGCCCGGTCGTGGGAACGTTAAAAGTGTCCTCCGAAGGAGTTTGAAATGACGCCGCTTATACATAGCTTTGTTGGGGTTTCTTTGCCACTTTTACGTAGTGTACAAAATTAAATTGATCTAGTTTTTAATCATGTGGCCATTTTTAATCAAAAGTAACGAGTAACGGCTAACGTTATTTGATAGGAGATACCGCAAAATAATATGACATTAATTAACTCGTTACTCATTTGGGATTCTAACGAGTAAGTTAGTATGTTAGTAAAAAAACTAACGTGTTACCAGTAGCGTCATTACTTGTAACGCGTTAGTTCCAACACTGGTGTCGTTGCAATAATGCTGCTGGGCTGTTTCTTTTCATACGCGCTCTTGAACATCTGTCATGTTTGCATGAAACTATTATGTGTAATAAATTCATCAAACTTATTTATTTGTTCATATATCTGTTCCTATTTCCTCAAAGGACCATTCGAGGGCATCACAAAAGGGGCGGGGATAATTACAGCATATATTTCAAACAAAATACCAAGGGGAGCAAAGCAGGTGGAATAACGTGAAGATGGAGCTTCTGGTAAACCTCAAAACTGCGTGCCGACGTTTAACTATGAGTTCTACTTTCTTTACCTAGTGAAACGTCGGCACGCCGTTCTGAGGTTTACCAGAAGCTCTCTCTTTACATATATTTCAAGTAAAACGCAACAATAGACCAGAAACCTCACTCTGAAAAAGCTTATACAGAAGATGAACAAAACAACAAATCAAGGAAGCAGACGTAAACAATATTTGTACTAATTACCAAACATGTTTTCATTATGTAGCAAGAAAAAATAATATGAAAAAAAAAATTAACGAAACGAGGTCAGCGCATGGCAAAACCCGAAAACCAGTGTTTTTGGGTCTTGTCACGCCAGTGTTTTTGGGTATAGAGATGTGTAGTCAGTACAGAGCACGGGACTCAACAAATGAGTAATTCATGACATGCCAAAATAAAGCCGGTGTGTTTTTTTTTTGTTTTTTTTTAAGTTTTGTATTTACTGTAGGTAGCGCGTGCTTTCTTTGATCTGCTGTGGCATCAGTTACTTGTTTGCCCCTGCCTCACTATAAAGCCCTCACTCACAGGCATTTGGCGATACTTTAAATAAAAAAATAATAGTCGGTGCGTGCAGCGCTGATATGGTTAAAACATTAACACAGAGATCACTAGAAACAATTGTATATGAAGGTATCAACCACCGCTTTCGGCTCAATGAGTTTCAATTGAGTTTATAATGTATTCTATAAGAATACATTAAAAACGCAATTGAAACTCATTGATAATTTTTGCAAGGGTGTAGCATAACTGACACAGACAAAGTCATCTCTCACCATACAGACAGAGCTTCACGTACGCTTTTTATGTACTTTTGTTTCTTTAACCTTCTAGTTGTAGAATCCCGGAATACAAAGTTTAACAACTTGACGAAAATGCGTTTTATTATGCGCACCTCGGATTTTTGGCATGCAATATTATCATATCACGACACATGTACGAGTCTTCGGACGAAGGAGTTCTTATTCATTTTTATTTAACAAGAAAGTCAATCAAATATTTTTACACGTTTCTAGCAATCACGTCGTCACTACAAATCCTGACAAACGCGTTAAAATCTCAGTTCAGTAGTCCATAAATGGGTGCTTCACTATAAACACGTTTGGATCGCAATTCATTGTCGCGGTTCGTGTATCATTTAATTTTCTGAGCTCCTGTGTTCCTCATGTGTGCGAGTGTTACAGATTTTCGACTTTCAAATCGACGCTTCATTCAAGAAGTCTTTATAGATACGACGTGTTCTCTGTTATACAAGTGGTTTATGTTATATTTCTTCAAACGCAACTTTAAATCAACAGAAATTATACATTCAATGACACTGAAACTTTGCGGTTTAAGTCATGGGCTTCCATTTTTATTTTTGAAAATAATCCGATTACATACTCTACCAGCTTTAAAGTTTACTCGAGTAATTTGTATGATTTAGTTTTAAAACGTTTCTATATAACGCTTTTTAATCATTTATATTGTAAAAAATAACGTTCTGATCTGATTTTCTAATAAACAGTACGTTTATTGAACAAAGAAGTTACAAAATATGTTTGTTGTGCATTATTACTTATATTAATTTCTGTAATATTTCATATTCTTGTATGTTCACTAAATACATTCAACTGTTTTACTTAGGTTGGTAGAGCATCTCCTTCTTCACGATAATGCGTGCCCGATAGCGTAGAAGATTAGCTGATTTAAGATTCTTATTTCGCAATCAGACAGCCCCATCTAAATTTCACTGAATAAACGAACAAATATTCTATAGTTTGTCTCACCCTACGATGGACTAAAGGCCAAAACCGCGGGCCGCCAAGTCCAATCACGTTCCACACTACACTATGACATGCCTAGCATTGATTAGGGGTGGACGAATAATGCTCCGAACCCAAAAACGCTGCATCATTTCTATAGCTTCGACACTGAAAACAGCCTTTTTTTTTTTGGCAATGTAAAATTGTTGAGTCACTCAGTGCTATTTCGATTCGAACCACTGTCCGCCCATCCCCATCAGTGATCCGAGACGTGGGCACTGATACGTGCATCAAAGCGCTATACGCAATTTCTAAGTGGCTCGTGATTGGATCTGGCGATCCGTAGCTTTTGCCTTTAGTCCATCGTAGGGTGAGACGAAGTACAGGGTGTCACAAAAGAAAATTTACAGGTTTTTTTTTACCGCAAAAATAAACTAGGTGCCGCCGAACGCTCATACTCCGCCCAAAGGTAGTGCTAGAGGTCACAACCAGATGCCAAAGTTTCAACCCGATTTGATACCTTATTCAAAAGTTATGCGTGATTTTCTGAAAATTTCAATGGGAAAATGACCGCCGACGGAGTTTTCAAATACATGGGGCTCTATGGCACCAGAAACCGAAAGCGGGCAAAAATGGGCGCCATTTTCCCATTGAAATTTTCAGAAAATCACTCATAACTTTTGATTAAGTTATTGGATCGGCTGAAACTTTATCATCTAATTGTGACCTCTAGAACTACCTTCGGGCGGAGAATGAGCGTTCAGCGATGCCTAGTTTATTTTTGCGGTAAAAAAAAACCCTGTAAATTTTCTTTTGTGACACCCTGTATATATGACAAAGAATTATCGAACGAACGATCCTCTACATTATGTTCCCTTCTCAGATTAAAACAGCGCTAGGGTGGTATACGGATGGCCAAACCCGATGATACTCATACCTATATATTAGGTCAAATGATCTAATCAAGCATCAGTTTTTTTAATAATTCTAGATAGACGGACGTCGTAATACTAGGGTACTAAATTTTCTAATAATCAATGACACCTTAATAAATTCCTGAATGTTTTCTTCGGGACAAATATTTTACGTCGCCAAATGTGGTTTTCAGGTGGACTGAATGTTTTCTGATATAAAATAACACTACAGACGTTTCCGGACTTTGTCTCCTGTGATAAAAGATTTATATATTATATTAGTTATTCAATATTCAAAGCTACCTACTAACTCCTAAAATACATTGCATAAAAATAAACAGAAATGTGAAGCACATGTTCAAAACCCACGCACTGATGAATAACGCATCGTCATTCTTCAACATTTTAAGGAAAAACAAGATTGCACCAGCAATACACAGAGTGTAGGAGAGGAAACGAATTATTTTTTCGAAAAGTTGCTTGATGACAAACGTAAACATTCTATTTAAATAAATGTTAAAACGTACTTTTCTTTGGCAAATTTTCGTAGCCAATCAGACACGAATACATGATCTGCACCATTTTTGACGACATGAATTGAAGTGAGCATTAACGAAGTTCAATACTACTGCTCTTAATTTTAGGTGTTCTATAGGGTTCCTTTTGTGTTTTCTCACGTAATTGTTGTAAACTTTAAAACATGCCACGCAGTGCTAATTTAAAATATCCGACATTAAAAAAAATAATAAAATTTCTTGGCTTAAATACGTTATGAGGATGACATTCAACCTTGCGCATGATATATTGGAGCCTAGCGCAGAACTTCTTCCTTGCACGCGTCTAAAAAACGCAGAAACGCAAACTGGAAGAAGTGTGAACACAGAAGCAACAGCAAAAAATACGTCTCAAGAATAAATTTGAAAGTAGAAACATTTTCTCTACTTCAGCGTTTGTTGAACTAAGGCCGTGACAACAATGCTCTCAATGCAGCCTTTCAGAAGTTAGGGAGGTCACTTCTTGACCTGGTTTTCTGTCGCTGTTCTTTCTTTCAGCAGAAAAACCAAGCAAGCCTGCAATCAAAAGTTTACGATCACACTCCATAACAGGTATGTTGGTAAGACATACGTATAACTACATACGAAGACGAAGAAAACTTTTCCGCATTCAAAACCTGTGCAAACGTTCTGTAATTTGAGCTGGGAAATCATTGTTTATCCTGACTGCCTGACACGATCATTACTTCAAGTAATGGGCGACGAAATTGCAAAATTGATTTCGTTAAGGTGACTTGGCGGACGACTGCTTATTTGTGGTTCTTGGTGGGAAAATATTATAAACTGCTAAGTTTATGACCGGCTTTGTTTTTGATAAAATAGTCGGTGGTCACCAGCCCGTATCTTAAGTTGACATCAATACTCCAAGTTTATCTAAAAGTTTGATAACTGGCTATCGAGTTTGTGAAGTTTAAGAAAGCGGCTCGATACATCTTATACCTTTCATTTCCATTGTAGATTCTAGTTTGTTATATACATGATTATTGAAACCCGAGAATGTAGTTTGAAAAACGGAATACTCGTGTGTTCCGTTTTTGAGATCAGAGTCTCAGGTTTAAATCTTCATGTATAACTTACACCAGATCGCCTGCGTATTAACCATTTTTTTTCCGTCATATACCGCATTTCTCAGGTAGATACTTTCATGTAGATAAACTTGTGAAACATACTTTAGGACACATTCGATAACGAGGCTTGTTATAAAACTATAACAGTTCTTGTTACTGAATATAATTTTTACAAAATAAGGTATGTTATAAAACTATGTGCTTTGTAACAAACATTCTGAGGTTTGTTATGAAACCACTACAGGCTTTATAACATATGTATTTAGTTGTTTTTTATAGACGAACTCAATGCAATATATTAGATTCGCGTTTTTCTCGATATCCTGACAAATTTATTACTTTTCACACCACGCGCGGCAGATATTATATATACGTAAATAACGGGGCTATATGGTATGATTTACTCGCACTAGTGTGTGCATGTCTTAGCAGACTGTGCATGCACATAACTGGGGCTCTCCTTATTCTTGCATAACTGTGCTACTCGTTTGATTGTGTGCATTTGTTCAATAATGTTTCCGGAAAAACAAATATTGGTTCTATAAAATCTGAATAGTGTGGAGTCATTACGTTCGATAAATTTGTTGGTACTTACCCCTTACAAACAGCATGACGAATTTTTATTTAACAATCAACAAATATGCTGCTAAAGGTTCATTCTAGCCTCCGTACTAGTCATGTATGCCCACAAACAAGAAAATGCAAACCTGACGGTGTGAGAAACGAAAACATTATGAAGCAAATAAATACTGAAAATATGTTATTTCTGACGGTTTTAATATCCCTTTAATTAAGTTTATGTTGCTTCAAGCTTTACATTTATAGGTTAGTTTGCCATCGACAATGTTTTTTTGTTAAACTGCATACACAATACGAGAGTACACCCTATTATTACGATCATGATTGTGCAGAATTTTAAGAGGTTACTAATTGACAGCAATTTAGTCTTTTTAGTCTAACAAGTTTAGTTTTCCGTATCATGGCCTTCGTTGCTGATACGCCATGTAACTCCTAAAAATAAATCAGTCATTCGAATTGGTAGCCTCTCTTTCTTTCTGTGTTTAAAAGAAGCAGCTTAACATTTTTTTAAAACGCACATTGCAAAAACGCTTTGTCAGAAAAATTAATTAAAATTAACATTAAAATAAAGCTCGGTTCTTAAAAATAAAATTGTGAGGATGCAAGTGAGTTGATGCAAGGTAAACACGTGGTAGAAAGTACCCGAGCCATAAGTAGTCTCCAGTTTAAATTATATACCCTTTAATTTCCAATAGAACCTGATCACGTTTCTTTTCTTTTTCTTAAGCTCTACTTTTCACCATGATTATTTTTTTTTGTCAAACCTCTTCTAAGAAACTGTGCTTTTTCATAAAAAGTGAAAGCCGTTTACAACTCCCTGTAACACCGAATTAGAGCGCAGCTCTTGAGGAGAAGGAGGGAAGGGTACTGGGGGGTGAAGTGACCGGGGGGGGTCACGTGACGATGCCGATGATGTCATCAGTGACGTCACTGATGACGTCCTCAGTGACGATGACGATGCGGACTCCGATGACGTCATCAGCGATGATGACGATGACGATGCGGATGTCGATGACGTCATCAGTGACGTCACTGATGACGTCATCCGTGATGATGACGATGCGGATGCCGGTGACGTCATCAGTGACGTCACTGATGACGTCATCAGTGATGATGACGATTACGATGCGGATGCCGGTGAGGTCATCAGTGACGTCACTGATGACGTCATCAGTGATGATGACGATGCGGATGCCGGTGACGTCATCAGTGACGATGACGTCATCGGGGAGCTCACGTGACCTCGGCGGGGGGTCACGTGACCTCGGGGGTCACGTGACTTTGGGTGTCACGTGACCTTGGGGGTCACGTGACCCTGGGGGAGGGGTCACGTGACCTTGGGATGACCTTGGTTACGCCGACGGCGACGCCGACGCCAACGCCGCTAAAGCCGCGAACGGGCCCCTAAGAGCTGCGCTGTAAAATAAAACACGTTGACGCGAGATCCTTTTCTTTTCCTCAGACAAAGATGGCCGGCCATCCAAACCCGCTCCGCCTCCCAAACCGGCTTCTCTCAGTGGCGCTCTAGATTCAAGGCAGCATTCGTCGTCACCTGCCAAAGGTAAGACAAAACGTTATGTAGTGATAATGCGAGAGCAATTGCGAGCAGGAGAGTGAACCATTTAATTATTCACTCCTATAGTGTCAAACTAAAAATATACTCAGATTTCGGGTGCATGCATAATGATACCCATGTTTTCGGCAATTAAAAAGCGCGCACACTGTGCAGTAGCACGAACTTGGCACATTCCAAATAGTCATGTGCAAGTTTCACTTGCTACTGTCAAAATAGGGCTGCCACTTTCGACAATCCGTCTCACCCTGACGTGGCCTACAGCTTATCGCATGAGGAGGAGCTCTTTGCTTAATGAAATAACTTTGGCTTCACGAACGATATAGTACATCAGATACTTGTACTAGTCGGTGGACCATATACTTTCAAAAAACAAAAAGAACAACGCCAAGGGTAGACTGCGAATTAAACGAAGTGTTCAGGTAGAGAGCATACAGTAATTGTAGTTAGATTTTACATGACTTGATGAAAACATGAACACAAAACATGGGCCCCATCTAACTGCTTTACAGTAGACCAGTGTTGAGTAAAGTACATCTAAAAAGTTTTTGAAGTAAACTACATATTAAACGAGAAGTTATGTACTTCAAGTGAAGTAGTAAGAACACTGGGCGCAATGTTCTTGAAGTAGAGTACTATAAACACAATGTACTTTCAAAGTAAAGTACAAGTTCTTTTAGCACAATCTTTAATGATGCCCTTTCATTCCCCTATACGTTGTTTTTTTTTTTTTTCTTGTTTTTTTTAACCGGTATGCATTGCCATAGGGGAAGACAGGGGTGCATCAGTTGTTTTCGGGACTAACGGCGAATATTGGATAAAGTCCAGTTGCCACAGAGTAGTAGTTATTTTACTCTCGCTGACAAACTATTTAACACAATCAACTTATAAGGCACGTATTTGTATCGGTCTTATAGCCGCCAATACTTCACTCAGAGAACTTACCAAATGACATCTCAAAAGATGATTGCGCGATGCACACAACAATACGGCTTTTTATTTTTTAGAGGTTGGCGAACTTTAGTGCTCGATCTCAGAACTTGCGTATAGAAATGGAAAAGCCAAGGACGCGATCCCGTAGTACTTCAAATGGCTTAATTTCGCCGAAACAGAATTCCGGGAATGTACTTTGAAGTCGGGAGATGTACTTTCCTCGGAAAGTACCAGAAAAAATGCTTTAAGTAACGTACAAGTACACACTTAGAGAATGTACTTCAAGTAAAGTACAAGTTTCTAAACGTACTTCAAGTAGTGCTTTAAGCACAATGTACTTGAAGTCTTCCCATCACTGGGGTAGATACATGGGTTACATGGTGGGTCATACATAAAGACAGAAAATACAGATCCAATATACGACAAAGAAGCAAATGACTGAAAAAAGCGTGCTCTGTGACCGATTCGTTAACTTCATACTTCTGATGTCTCAGAATTCATAAGTATGTCGTTCACTAAACCAGATCGCCTGCGCTCTCTAGCTTCTGACAATTCGTTAGCTTGTCCGTCATCTCTTGGCGCTATTTTCATTTTATTTTTATGTCTGATCCTTCAGGAATGCGTATGCAGCTGAAACATTTGTTAAGGTCACCTGTGTGCGTCACCGAACTTTTCAACAGTTCACGTGAAAATGACACAGAACATTAGCGTACTTCTATGGTTGCCAATATTAATCGAGGCAATTGGCTGGCCAAGACCACAAAAATAAACATATTATGATAATTGAGAGTATCATGATAATTATGATGATAATAAACGCTGTTGGTTCCGGTTATAGCAAATGATCCACTAACTCTTTCTTCGGGTGTATTGTAGACAAATAGCACAGTACACGTGTTTACCGTGTTGTCTACTGTTTCGGTGCGTTCTTTTTGCTTCAGAGGTGCACTTCAGCCCCGAGGTGTGCTCCCAGCTGCAGCATCTCCGCAAACAGACCAAGGATCTGCGGCTGGAAGTGCGAAACCTCCGCCGCATGACCCAGGCTCAAACCGTCACTGCGCGGGAGATGATCAGGGAGGTCTGTCTCAAGATTAAGGTGAGATCTATAGCGTCCCCCAATCTTCCGTTTTCATTGCACCTGGCTCCTAAGGCGCAAAATGCTCTTTAAATGTGTTTCCAAACGTATCGGAACGATTTACTCGGCCGGGTACACAGTTTTGTAGAGAAGCGCACACTGGGTCTAAAATGTGCGACGCGCGTGCACCGCCACGCATCGTACCTAAAGGTCAAACGTCAAAAAGGCAAACCTCATTGACAGTCCGGCGGCCTTTTTATGTGTAGCCTCTTCTATACGTGCGATGCGTGGCGGCGCACGCACGTTGCGCGTTTCCGACATGGGCGGCGGGATCGCCCACGCGGAGATGCGATCCGGTAAGAAGCCAAAACCCAGAAACGCGTACAAATTGAGTATTTTTTTCGGAACGCCGTAAAATATTGCGCATGCTTGATATCACTGTAACGTGAGTGTATTTAGTAGTTTACGATGATGCCCAGCAAGATTCTAATTGAAATTGTGCCTTTAAGATCAATAATTAACAATTTAATTGCTCAAATGAATGAACTACCCATTTATTATGAACGCTAACAATTTTCCTTAATAAACCCTTTGACACAGACCACTACGGCATCAACCTGTTCTCTGTGCGATGCATAGTTTTTGCAAGAGCGATTTTGCCCGCGTTTCAGGAATATATATATTGTATGTGTCCGTGGGACGATAAAATGTTTGGCAATGTTTTCACGTTGCAACATTAGCTCTCATCTATAGTTCAACTTAAATTGAAAACGTTCTTCAAAATTTCATACGGTTAGTCGGGCATAACTGAATTATTATGTTATTCAGAACAGGTTTTAGATTTGTGTTTACTCAAATTGGTTTTGGTTTCAGTCTAAAAATGCGCTTTGTGCGTGTTTAAAAGTTACTAAAATAATGAAATAACGCATGGTGTATTACCTTTTCCAGCCCGACAAACAACACCGATACTGTAACGTTTGTACGCTTCCTCCGCGGTTCCAGGTGATGTTGGCAGCTGTTCAAGTGGGTGACGACCAAGTTTGTGCAGAAAGGCTACGAGTGTCAAGAGAAGAAGACCTTTACAGGCAAGACGTAACACGGCTCGAAAAGGATCTTTCGTAAGTACATTTAAATCTGCTGTCATGATCAGACAAAATTGTGGTCTTTATAAATATGACAAGGTCGCGTACAAATGTTTTAATGGATTTACACTGGAGATTACTAATCACATTAATAAATGTGATACCAAATTTAACAGCACACTTGGAATGCTTTGTCTCATACGGGGCTCCATTCTGCACACAGCTATAACAAGTTTAATGGGGCGCTAAGTACGCGACCGTCATGTTTCAATCATTCTACAGGCGAGGCGACTCATTAGTTTTCGGGTGTATTTTCATTGAAAACATTGATTGTCGATTAGATTAAGCACAGGACAGACTAGGAAAGCGCTCATTGATGTGCCTCACAACGTCGATCTTTTTTAACTATTCCCGTTGAGGAAATGCGAAACCCAGTTCGCAATGAAGTTTCGAGTTAAATTTTAAGTCGATGGTCATATCGTTTCTTTTGCCAGGGACTTGGAGAGCCAGGTGGAAGAGTTGCGAGGCAATGTGATCAATCGGCGGTGTCGCGTCAACATGAGCAATGTAGAAAGCATGGCTCTCGTCCTCAGCAGGGCCAGCAAGACTGTGGCAGACCTGAAAGGCAAGTCTTTCAAATATTGTCACGCGAAACGACGTGTGTGCTATGTATCCAATGTTGAAATATGACAAAACGTTACCAAAGTTGCTATTTAAAATTTACTCTCTAAAAAATAACATCCAAAAAGATCAGGTGAATTCGTGAGTGGTTAGATTTATTGCTTTTGTAAAACAGCCATATTTCATAAAAAGCTTACAGATTTATGAAATATATTGGTGCTGTAGTGCAGTTTATTAAAATTCATCTAATTAGAAAATATACTCCTACTGTTTAAAGAAAGCTTTTTTTGTTGATTTGTACATTCATATTGTGGCTGAACTGTAAAAAAGTTGTAAAAAAGAATTGCCCAAATTAGACAGTAAAATTTAATTTAACCGAAAACTTTATTTATTGTTGGCAGAGTGTGCAAGTTACGTTTGTTCAAATTGCCAACGAATTATAAATTGTTTGAAATATTTCAAACGATGTTGCTTTAAAATGAAGAAATACATCTTTTGCAGCGTCTTTTCCAATCACATAAAAAAAAATTTAGCAAGCTTTATTTTTTTAGTTTACAAATAATAGACCTTACGGTGTCCCTAGTGTATGTGCTTGTTTTCATAGTTTATTTTGTATATTTATATCGTAGTATTATCTGTCAAGGATAAATGTTGCCACGATATTCATAATATGCCTATTATAAAAGTGTGTTATTTAAAACACAAAAATTAGCAAAAGTATTGACCGCGAAAAAGATCCCACCTTTGATATTGTATTCTTAGGAAGATCGAGGGAAACCGTATCCAGCCTAATTAGATGTTTGTTTTTATTTCAGCGCGGTTTCCAAATCTTCAAGATAGTCTAAAAACTGTTATGGGTGCTGAAATGGAGGTTGTTGTTCGAGAAGAAAAGTAAGCATATTTCATTTTATATGTTAATGCACTCCTTGAAAGCAGACGTCCACGGTGATTGCGAAATTCACATGCAAACCATTTACCACTAAACGATACGCCGTCACGTCTTTCTTGCCACGAACCACGTGCAAACCCAATGTACTGATACCTACAAAAGGAGGAGCCCAGCGAACGAAACAGCTCAGAACTTTAAGACCTCAGATTGTTATCTGAGCTGTAACACAAAGTGGGCTTTGTTTTAAACTGCATGTTTGCGTCAAAACGTTTTTTCCCCATTCTATAATTCATATTTTGTATAACTGATTGCCTACGTCATTTGCCGTATACTAACGAGCATTTTGATGAGAGTATGTATGTATGTATGTGTGGATGTACGTTTACACACGTGCCTGTGAATGTATGAATGGTTGTATTTATTGGTGTATGCACAGAGCGCGACATAGATAGAGCAACTCAACGAAAAATGTTTATTACACTATCACAGCGAGTTGTAGATATCTGGGTATCAATTAACCTAAAGTTTATTTTCCTGCACTCACTTCAACGAGAAAAAAGTGAGAAGACGCCTGCGTAATGTTCACCCTGTGCCTTGATGTGGGCATTTTGGTTAGTGCGTAAGCAACTTGCAGTACATTACTGCGTCCAAAAAAACACCTAACATTTAATTATCTCAAATGCTTAGAAAGTTCTTGCCTTAGGCTTAATTTGCACACACCTCTTTTTCAGATTTCTCAAAGAAGAGCCAGAGAGGCTAGAAAACGCTTTGAGGAGGTGCAAAAAGTTGACTGGAACGTTGGTAACGCTTAAAAGGTATGTCTTCACACGTAAGGAATTCCGTTTCGTAACCTCGAACTTCCCGCTTTATTCGGTTGCACTTCTTTTTTTTGTGTGTGTGTATTTAATGTTGTTTGTGAACATATGGGACGGCGTTTAAAACCTGTAGGTTTCTTCTTTAATTATTGTGAGAAGATTTTGCTTGAATTCGCTTGCGTCTATTACTTATTCCTGTATCCTTGAGGCGTTCCCGTTCATTTGTCTGAGTAAAGTTAACGCAAGTTCGTGCCTGCCTTATGTAGAGCATATAAATCGATTTGTTAATAAATACCATTTATACAATAAAGTTCATCTAATATATCTCTGGATTTTTCTGGATTTGTTTTAATTTAAAAAAAAGCTGATTAGGCCTTGCAAATGCATGCGCTTCCCGCAAATCTGCTACAAATGAATTAAAATGTTTTTTCTCACACTGTAAAATTTAATCTCGTTCGAAAGTAGTCTAAAAATCCCTTTATTTTAGTAACAAATTTGTAAATTTTTTCCGCGTTGTTAAAATATTTCAGGAGGACCCGCACGTTACTTTTGGGGACATTCCAGAAAGGGGAACACGAGCAAGCTTAGACATTTTTCTAACAAGAATGTCTGGTGTAGATTGAGGGAACGTTTTGTAAAGACTCCGGTGTAACCCGGGGTAACATTTCGGCTAGAGACTATATTGCAAGTATAGGGAACATTTTCGGGAACTCCGGCTTAAATGTAGAATATCTTGAAATGGGGATTCAGGATAGGGTTAAAGATTGTTTAGGTTAGATGCTCGGGCGTAACTCTGGGAAACATATCAACCACAGACTCATGGTTCAGATATAGGAATCATTTTAGGGAACTCCGACTTAAATGCATACATGTTTTGAAAAGAAGATTTAGCGTAGGTTTAGGGATCGGTTAGGTTAAAGCTCGTGCGTAACGTCAGGGAACATGTCAGCTAGGGACTGTTGTACAAACTTTGATAACCTTTCGGGTGGCTGTGATGTAATCGTAAAGAGTATTTTTTCCCGGCAGGTTGGCATCGGTGCAGGAACAGAGGCACACGGGAGCGCACGGGCTTCCCGAAAAGGCGGCGTCGGCGGACGGGGCCTACTCCGACGGTGAAGCGCATACCGCAAGGGTAAGCCGGTCTCCCGCCGACCCGCCCACGGGTCCCGGCGGCACCGACCAGCCTGCGGCGTGTCTCTGGATGCGAGACTTCGGAATGCGGGGTCCCTGAGTCCAGGTGCCCAGAGGGTCAGACTCGGTCTCGGTGTAAGAAGAGCGGCACCTCGCACTGACGTAGCTTCGAGTACCGAAGCCATGCCGTGTACCTCGTTGTAGACGAAACGACATGTCCCCGGGTTTACTTCCAAGTAGAGAAACCGAGAGTCAATCATTGTAGCCTGCACAGACAGCTCAGGAAATCAAGATGTTGGAATTCGTCGACCAACTGCATACTTTGTTCTGGCCCAGGATGCTGAACATGTAGTCTGTCATATTAAGTGTTTCAGTTGATTTCGAAAATCCTAGGCCATCGCGTAGTATGGGAACGTCATTCATCCAGCTTTTTGTGTGTGTGTGTGTGTGGTGGTTGCTTTTGCGGATGGCCCGAGGGAAAGTAGATGCGAGGACATTTTTTGTATGTGTGTTAAATTACTAAGCGGTGCGGTGGTCGTTCAAGTACAAACAAGCTTTTTCCTTGTTTTTGTTTGTGTGAGATTTGATGAGAGAACGAACTCAGTATTTCATCTCGAATTGCAGTTTAAGTAGGACAGAACATTTTATAACTTGAGATCAGTAGGAGCATGCATCGACGACAATTGTCACTTTGAACTCGTTCTAGTAGGGTTAATTATGTTTTGCTAATCCTGGGAATTGACATGCGGCTTGGGGAGACAGTAATTGCAGCATTTTATGGGATAAATCAAGTTTAGACAAACTGTCAGATGACGCTAATGTCACACTCTTTTAGCGGACCACTAGGAATTCTAGCTTTACGAGACTTTCGTATATATTCTCTTTGACATTTTAGATGCTACGTCTCAAACTCAATCAGGATGGCCGAGGAAGTTGTTTATTGACTAGTATGATCTGTTTCATATTCGCGCGCAGGCTTCCACGTGATCGCGTGCGATTTTCATAAAGAAGCTCATAGTTTTATAGCATGAAGACCCGTTTCGCTTCTTACCGGAAAGTGAAGCAACCATCTCAGTACATTGGGACATAAATCGTGTCATTTCCCGGGTTACATTAATTTAGAGGAATATTTTATACATCGCGTATGGTTACACGTACGTGGCACTTTAACAAAGTAATATTGACTGAATATGATTCTGGAGTTTTTTTTTTGAGGGTTTATCTAAAACGAATGCGCCTATACAAGGCAAATAAAGCTTCAAAACAAGATATCAGGCAATTTAAAACATAGGATTCTAAATAAACTAAATTGTTAGCTACAGTTCACTCGTAGCCTAAGAAGTCAACCAGGATTCTACGTTTCCCGTTCCCTGCAATCGTATATTGAACACTGTGAATCTTTGACCGTAAAAACACAGGCAAGCTGACGACGTTTTCCTATTAAGAAAGCCTGACCAAGGAAAACCAGATAATAAACAAAACACAAAATACTTTCTTTTTAAACAGCGTAATATTTACTCCTTACACCAAGCATAAATGTTTATACAGCACGACCTCTCGTCAGCCTGAAGTGCTCTTTTGCTTTATTTCACTTTTAGCACGCCACAGCAAACAGTAACGCACGTGACAATTATGAAATCTTAATACTCAAAATATTTAATCTTATGTAGGCAAAAAATTCACAACCTCATAAATTTAGACATTTGTACGGTTGGCTTTTTTTTTTTGCGTTTTCCCAGTTGCATGTATTCGATTTTGTTTTTTTGTTTTTATTCGCCTTTGAGACATTAGCACCCACGTGTGCCTTTTCTTTAACTTTATTTTTTTTTTAATTCTCAGCGCACTCGGCATTTTAGCGCTTTTATATCGAAGTGTCACGAGATCTTGCTCGGAACCAAACTTTGTCAAAATATCCTCGACGACAATTTTTCCTTGAAAGTTTTATTGCGCCGCGCTTTTTATTACAACTGACAAAAAAACTGCCCCTTCAAGATATGTTTACTTTGGATAGCTTGTCTCGTCAAATTATGGAGAGTTTTTTTTTCGCTTTGGCCAATTGAATTTGCATTTGTTTTGTTTTTTTGTACTTTCCCACAACTATTAGCTTAGTGGATTGTCTCTGATAATGATGAAGACATACTTTTTTTTAGTATGAATTTCCCAGTTGACTTGTTTTCTTATGCGCTCTGAGTGAACAGTGCACCATAGGTCCTAGAACGCGACGGGATACATATCTCAGTGCCGATCGTCACTCCAGTCATCCACATTCTAATAGGAAACTCCGAAGGCTATGGTACGACGGGCGAAATATTTCAGGGTTTACATATTTGTTTTCTATCTTCTTATCTTCTAATTCTTTTATATGCGAAGTTACTAAGAAGCTTGTTATTTTTTTACTTATATATTTGCCTACTAATGTATACACGCGTTTCGCACGCGTGGCTCAGGGTCCAAGCGAATTAAGCTTCAAAATTCAGTTAGTATGGCATTAAGTGTTTGGGATAGATAGTACTACGTTGCTTCCTTTCTATCCATTTTCCGGGTATTAAATGTATAGGACGTAGTTGCTCCCGAAAAATATTGAAAAATATTTGGCATTTTGAAATTAAAATTTAGTCCAAAGGGAAACGGTTTTATCTAAAAGCCATAAAAAAAAGTCTACCCACGGGTGATGCTATTTTAATATAAAATGCTGTAGTTGATATCTTTATAAACTTCTATTTAACACGGTGAAATGTACCCAGACTGTGACCACTTAGGTGACAATTCGAACACCTTCCCCTGCTTATTTTGTGCCATTACATTTTGTTAATATATTTTACATGTGTGCTCAAGGTTGCCCTTCAGGTTGAATTTTGTTTTGGCGGCGCATTTGTCCTCAATATTTTTTAATCGCATTATAATTCTTCATGATCTTATCTAAATAAACTGCAGTACCCGAGTTGAACACTAGACGTTACAATGTCATAAAAATTAAAAACAACGAGGTTACTGGACGCCGTGTGAAAACAATTGCCCTCTCACATAATCCGAGATCAAGTCTTGCACTCTGTGGCTCCTGCGTGTGCTAGGAATATGACTTCTTCATGTCATTTTCGCTGTGCAAGGCAGTTGAAGTTATTCATACAAGTTATGCTATAAACGTAGCTTCTGTTTAGGAATTTTATGTTTTCAATATAACACAATTCTAAGTGAATGTGAACAAGTTTTTATTCGTCTGGTCAAAAGGTAGAACATGCGCTAACATTTCAGATATGAAACAAATTGTTTACTTAAAATTGCAAGGTGTAAGGGGGTCATATTTTAATAATTTTATGTGAACAAAACATTTTTTTATTAAAGCTTCATACGTGATTTTATTTCCGCCTTTAGTCATTAAAAGGCTGGAAAAAAATAAATTATCACAAAATACGTGTGGTGGATTGGGACATTTGGCATCTAGCAGTGGCACACAGGCACGGCTCACATTTAAAGGAAATTATTTGAAAACACTAGGGTATATAATTGTACGTGTTCTAGTTATAAGAAGGTCTAATCGTTACTCTAAGTAGTGGTAGGAAACGCTGATAATGCATAGTGAACTAAGTGACTATTTAGGGCGCAAAATAATTTTGTTTTTAGAAGCAGATTTGCAGTCCCAAGCAAGAGAATTCAGAAATAACAAAGAACATCCAAGCGAACTACTAAACCTTCAATATCTTGAAAACCCAAGCCCGAGAAACAAGAAAATAAAAAAGGAACAACACACACATACCGTGCTTGTGTTGTCTTCCTGTTTGTTCCCCGGTCTCGGGATTTCACAATGTTCATAAAATCATTAGGTTTGCTAAGTTGGGTCGGGATGCAATTTAGTACATTGCTTCACGACTCAGTTCAGCCTTGGCGTTATCCGAACCTGATGTCCGATATGATAAGTAACACAAAAAGAGACTACTTGACAGGTGGCGACCATCAGCATGATCATCAGTCTGGGCAGTAGCCGCATCGAACATGCTTCTTCATGAACATGTGCGCTAAGTCGAGTTGCTGCCTGGTCGTACTATTCTGCAGTGGGATTGTGGGGAAAGTCCCTTAAGGAACGAATTCATCAACTAAGCTGGAATTTCGATGTTGTTCGTCCTTTACTTCTGGGCAATGACGCCGCTTTATGACGCCGTATTAAAAGTCTCGCGCACTTGCACAGCGAATTCAGTAATCATAATATTAGTGTGTGTTCACCTTTGAAACCCAATGATTTTTCCGTAGCGTATAATGAAAGACTGGCGGGCCTCTTTGACAATGTCATCGCGCAATAAACTTTCGATTATTTAAATCTTTTCTACCGATGTACATCTGTCACCAACGGGAAAATATTAGTTTTTTTTATCGTTACCATGCATGGCACCTCATTGCAAGTGCTAAATACGTTTTTACAATTATTAAAATGAAATAAAACATGGTTGCCTGCTTAGCAGAACATCTAAGGTCGACAGTAAAATGTTTCAGTGTTTAGAGATATGTCATCCTTGAGACGAATTTAACCTAGGCCTGGGCAGCCTGCCAACTTATTCTCTGCAGTCAGAGGTTCAGGTGAATGTTTGTGACAGAAGTGCGTTTGTGCCAATGAGCTCCGCGCTGATGGCCGAGAGAAAAGCCCTCCGGACAGCCCGTCCTGGTGCGGGCCCACGACCGGCTCCCCCCCAAGCCGGTCGGAGCTGTTGACTCGCGTTGACGACGTCACTTTTCTCTCCCGGTAGTCAAGCAGGCACGGTTGGAAGTGGAGTTCTAATTTCCGGGAGAAGATAGAGTAACTATGGCTCCTCTCTTGTCTGTTCCTCCTCGTCTTGTGCTGCTACAGGCTGCATGTAGTGCCCCTTGCTGCCTCTCCTCTCCTTCTTGCCTCCCGTCCTGTTTTATTCCCGGGCTTGGGGCTTCCTTTGCTCGCGGGTCGCCCGCAGGCTCTGGGCGCTAGGGTCTCTCATATCCTGCTGGGCTCGCCCACCGCAACTCCTTCTGAAAAAA